ACCAGCTGCTCCTTGGAAACCCTATGGGGCAGTTCTACTCTGTCCTGTAGGGTCACTATGAGTCAGAATCAACTTGATGGCAACAGGTAGTAGTAGTTTTATCTTTATGCTAGCGTTAACCACTGAATTAATTTTTTGTTGATGAGATATTGACTAGAAAATAAAACATTTATTGAATGGATGAAACTAACTGATTGGATGAAACTAAAACATATGAAAGCATGCACAAATAAGATAAATTTATAATTTATACCTACCAACCAAGCCTTGCATAGGGAAATGACAGGAAGTAAGATGCCGAGGGGCTAGAGACATGCTTAAGTGGATGCTGCGAGTCACCTGTCAATATTGTCTGTACCTTCCTTTCCAAAGCCTGGTACACAAAAGTAAAGGAATCCTGAAATAAAAGAATCATTATAGTAGGTAAAATATATAATATAATTAACAAAGCTACTGTTTCTTTCAAAAGCATGGGGCTTTTGTGAAGGAAACAAGTTTTTACAAGTGCTAAAAAAGAAAATAGGGATTCCCCTCAAGTATGGAAACCCTGGTGGTATAGTGGTTAAGTGCTATGGCTGCTAACCAAAAGGTCGGCAGTTCCAATCTGCCAGGAGCTCCTTGGAAACTCTATGGGGCAGTTCTCCTCTGTCCTATAGGGTCGCTATGAGTCAGAATCAACTCGACAGCAATGGATTTTTTTATCAACAAGTAAAGTCACTTAAAACCAGTACCAAATGAAATGCCATCGAGTTGATTCTGACTCCTGGTGACCCCATGTGTGTCAGAGTAAAAATGTGCTCCATAGGATTTTCAATGGCTGTGAGCTTTCAGAAGTAGATAGCCAGGCCTTTCTTCCCAGGCACTTTTTGGTGGGTCTGAACTGCCAACCTTTTGGTTAATAGCCAAGTGCTTCACTGTTTGTGCCACCCAGGGACTTCAAGGTCCCTTAGGACAGGCAATTAAGAGAATGAAATCACTACCACCAGTAGATGCTGAGGGATGGTATAGTCACAGCTCAAGAAGATGGACTGACATGGGAGCAAAGAGTTAGCTGAGACTTAAGTCAAACCAACTAAGTCAGGATGGTCTGGACTGATTTGCAAACCTAACTGAATAAAATAATCGTTGTTGTGTGCCATTGAGTCGTTTCTGACTCATAGTAACCCTATACTACAGAGTAGAACTGCCCCATAGGGTTTCCTAGGCTGTAATCTTTATGGATAAAGAGTGGGGCAGATGGTGGGTCCACACCGCCGAACACTTAACCACTGTGCTACCAGGGCTCCTTAAATAATTGTTATGGACGAACATTTTTAAAAAGCTAAGTCAGTTCAATGTAGAACTATAGTTATATTTGTACATATCCTTTTTTTCCCCAAACAAATGAATGGCGGAACACCAGAACACCAAAAATACCTTCCAAACCAAACCCAGATGGAGATGCTGCTGTATTTGCTTCAAGTTCCATAAAGTCAGGCAGGCATGAGAGAGTTTATACAGAATGCTGGAAACTGCATGCCAGAAAATCTGAGAACAATAAGCTCTTCAGCTCCAGATGCTGAATTGTTCTTCACATGGTCGTTGCAGAGACACAGACTGATGTGCCTCTAGGCAGTCTGGCCAGGCACTGTTGTTGTGTGCCTTCAAGCTGATTCCAACTCATAGTGACCCTATGTGATAGAGCAGAACTGCCCCACAGGGTTTCTAGGCTGTAATCTTTATGGAAGCAGATCACCAGGTCTTTTCTTCCACGGAACGGCTGGTGGGCTCCAACCGCCAGCCTTTCAGTTAGCAGCCGAGCGCTTAACTACAATGCCACTAGGGCTCCTTGGCCAGGCACTAGATCCGTTTAAGTTCAAGGGACTCAAATCTGAATCCACCAAGAGTGTCATGAGACTGAACAAGACTTCCCATGCCTGCCCCAGAGTGGAGCAGAATTGGATCAGAGTCATGAGTAGACCTGGACCGCTCAGGCTCTGAAGAAGCACAGCTTATAAGGACCCTGTGGGCAGGGACCATGCCTTCTGCTTTCTCCACACTAATCCTTCTGGCCCCTGTACACAGACTGCTCATCAAAATGCCTAGTTCTGGCTTGCTTATCCACCCAGGAAGCATTTAATAAGCTCCTACTGTGTGCCAAGCACCATGATAGGCCTTGGGAATATAATGTCCCTCCCTTACGCAATTCATCTTTTTGTTGAGGAGACAGATTCAGATATAAATAGTGGCAAGACAAAATTATCTGTGCTTTGATAGAGGTTCCCAGGTTCAGGACTGGCTACATAATTTGCAGAACCCAGTGCAAAATGAAAATGTGGAGCCCCTTGTTCAAAGATTATTTAGAATTTTAAGGCAGTGACAGCAGAGCATTGAACCAAGTGTGGGGCCCTTCTAAGCATGGGGTCTTGAGTGACTGCTCTTGTCACACACCCAAGAAGCTGGCTGTTTCCAGATCCTTGCCCAACCATTGACAATGTTGTCTGAACCCTCCTCCAGACATTAAGAACTTGTACAGTCCAACACCTACTTACCTCTCCCACCTTCTCATTGTTCCCTGTATTCCCTGTCTTGTGTTCCAGGCAAACAAGACTACTTACAGATTTCCGAACATCCTGAAACTTCCTTAACTCACTACCAAAGAGTCTTCTCTGACTGATGAAATATTAGCTACTGTTCCAGGCCTAACTCAAATGCCACCTCCTCCATGAAGCATTCTCGGGTAGCCTCTCAAGGGAAGAATTATCACCGTCTTATGTAACTGGCTCCCCACTTGCCATGGTATTTGTTGCAGTCTACCCACATAATGGTTATTTTTCACTTTGTCTTCTCTATTAGATTGAAATTTTCTAAAGGTCAGAATCTATTTCCCTTTCATTTTACATCCTCCAGTGGAGTTGTTACTAACTGCCGTCAAGTTGGCCCCTGACTCATGGTGACCCCATGCCCAATGGGATCAGACCATGTGATCCACAGGGTTTCATTGGCTGGTTTTTGGAAATAGACTGCCAGGCCTTTCTTCCTAGTCTGTCTTAGTCTGGAAGCTTCGCTGAAACCTGTTCAGCATTATAGCAACACTGAAGCCACCAGTGACAGACAAGTGGTAGCTTCGCCTGAGGAACATTGGCCAGGAATCAAACCCAGGTCTCCAGCATGGTGGGTGAGAATTCTACCACTGAACCACCAATGCTATCCCTAATAGCGTATCTTACAACTAAAAGATGATCCCATGGATGAATTCCATATTCAATTGTGTCCCTCAGCATGGGGCTCTGCACAGTGAGCACACAATATTGCTGACATATCTTGGACTAAGGCCAAAGCAAGATTGGCCCAGATGCCCGGGGCTACCCTGGACTCCACTGGACTTGGCAGAGGCCACTGAGGTCCAGACTCATGTCTCAGGACATCTCTGAACAAACCAAATTTGGAGGCCAAGGGTATTCACTGGGCTGGCACATGCCCAGGTGACTTTCAATGGATGATTAAATACCCAGTGACTCTACAAAACAAGATATCCCAAGAAGTAGTATTTTCCTCTTTCTCCATTAATAGCAGAAAATTCTTACTGTGGTCCAGGTATCCACACTAAAGAACACTCCTCTTTCTGTATAATTTATGTTTCTTTCAATATCTTTTGTTGGAGATGCAGTCAAATTTCTGTGAAAAGCAATTTTCTGCACTTTTGAGCTGTTGAAAAGAGAGGGGAATAAAATGATTAAACTGAGAAAACAACCAACCCCCTGAATAACTGAGTTGAAGAACAAACATTAAGCACAAGTTAAAAGACCATAACATTTTAACATCTGAATGTTGAAGGAATACCACCACAAAAAATAAAATGTTATAAAAACCTCCATAGGAGATTCTACAAAGTCTTTTAATAAACATATTTCTAAGGTTTAAAAGCCTATCCTTATTTAAAAAAAAAAAAAAAGCTATTTCCTATAGCTTCAGAGTTATATACTGTAATGAGAGTAAAACATTTGTATTCCTCCCACAATACTAAAAAAATTAGAGAAGTTTCAATAATTCACATAAAAGGTCAAGAAACTGGTTTGTAGGTGGTTTGAAAACTAGTATGCAGGCTTACTGCTTTATCTGTAAAGATATGATAGAATTAATTACACAATAAAAATCCATTTTCAAATTCATATATTTTACCCAACCTATAAACTAGATGCCTGGAAGAGCCGGACAGGCTTCATAAACAATTGAATGGAAGGCAGGCAAGAGAAATGAGTGAAGGGGACACTGTGTAAGACACCATGGATGTATGGATTGCAAGCCAATCGAAATGGATCAAATGGAATTTTTAAAAAATTACCTGATTCAAATAAATCAGTGAGGGCTTAACTGAATCCTTTCTGCGTATTTCAAATTCTTCCAAAGTTTGAAGCTCTCTCCCACCTTAGGACCTTTCACTACAATGCCCTTTTTTGAGTACTTAATTCTTGTTTTTGTTGTTATTTTTAGCTGCCATCATGTTGGCCCCTAACACGTGGTGACCGCATGCACAATGGAACAAAACACTGCCTGGTCCTATGTCATCCTCATGATCGGTTGCGGATGGGACCGTTGTGATCCACAGGGTTTTCACTGGCTGATTTTTCGGGCGTAGATCACCAGGTCTTTCTTCCTAGTCTGTCTTAGTCTGGAAGATCCCCTGAAACCTGTTCAGCATCATAGTAACATGCAAGCCTCTAATGGCTGACGGGTGGCTGTGCATGAGGTGTATTGGCTGAGAAATCAACCCAAGTCTCCCACATGGACGGCAAGAATTCTACCACTGAACCACCACTGCCCCTGTATCTCTTCAAAAACCAAAAACTAAAACCAAACCTATTGCCTGCCGTCGAGTCAATTCTGACTCATAGCAACTCTTTAGGACAGAGGAGAACTGCCCCATAGGGTTTCCAAGGAGTGGCTGGTGGATTTGAACTGCCAACCTTTTGGTTAGCGGCCAGTCTCTTAACCACTGTGCCATCAAGGCTCCATATCTATATCTATTACTCACCCTTAAATATCTCAGTTTAAACATCACTTCTTCAAGGAATGCTCTCCAGTGACTGGGTTAGGACACTGGGTAGTATATCCCCAGAGCACTCTGCACTCTTCCTTCATAACACTTAGAATATTTATAATCACTTGTCCAGTGCTGATCCAACTTCTAGGCCATGCACTCCATGAGAGAAGCAATTGTTTCTGTCTTGTTCACAAAGATATCTCTAGCACCTAATGATAGTACTAATGATAACCTAATGATTAATAACGATCATCATCATCATTATATTTTTATTAATAGTAGATATTTATAATGTTAATAAAATTATTAGATGAATGAATGAATGTTTGGTGGTTGGTACCTGACTCCAACAAGCCCTCTGTCCCTCTTCCTTAGAAATCTTCCCATCTCGTTTCATTGCTAAATGCTCTTCAGGGTGAAATTTGGGTAACGTTAATGAGTAACAACAATAATAGGAATAACAATATGAGCTACCACTTTGTGAGCAAATCACTATGGTCTAATTGCTTTATGTCTATTACCACATGTGATCCAGATCATAACTCTGGGAGAATGCATTTGTGTTTTGTCCATTTTGCAAAAGGAGGAAGCTGTACCTCATAAAAATTAAGTGACTTAATCCAAAACAGCACAATTGTAAATGGCAGAGCTGGAACTGGAACCTATACTTGTCTGTCTCTGAGTCCCATGCTCCCAGCCTCCACAGGCACCACCTCCCAGTGGGATGCCCTTCTATGCACACTTTTGAATCCACTTACCTGTGTGTGTTGTTTTGTTGGCCACCACACGCTATGAACAAGGGGTTCTCAGGTAGACTGCAGTCACTGGGGAAAGTCAAATGAGTCAGGCATTTTTCTATATTCTTTTCAAGCATGGATTTTACTGAGAATCAGGTACACTTCAAACTACCTCCAATAAACTGAGTTGAGAGTTGTTCATTACCTGTCCATACAGGGCCCCTAAAGGGCCTCAGCCCTTCCAGATGAGGGTGGTTAAATTGAGTGATGATGGTACTATGGTAATACAGCAGTCCCACACTAACCATCACCCCAGACTCACAGCCATCCCCTTCCCTCTGCATCCCGTCCGCTTTGCTGTTCCATGCTGACACGAAATATCTCAGAATTAAAGGCTTTGAAAGAAACTGGTTCCCAACTGTGATGGTTAATTTTATGTGTCAGCTTGGGTAGGCTTTGGTGCCCAGTTGTCTGGCCAAAGACTAGTCCAGATGTTGCTCTGAAGGTATATACATGTGATTAAGATTTATAATCAGCTGACTCTAAGGAAAGGAAATTACCCTTGAGGGTGGGCCTCATTTACTCAGTCGAAGGCCTTAAGAGCAAAAACTGAGGTTTCCTAATGGAGAAGAAATTTTGCCTCAAGTCTGTAACATAGATGTCCTGCCAGAGTTCCCAGCCTGTCACCTGGCCTGCCAGTTTTGGACTTGCCAGCCCCCAAAACTCTGTGAGCTAATTCCTTAAAATTAATCAATCACTCTCTCTCTGTCTCTCTCAATATATTGATATTGATATCTAATCCTCTCTTGATATATCTATGTCTATGTCTGTGTCTATATCTATCTACCCCATTAGTTCTGTTTCTCTGAATAACCCTGTCTAGTACATTGTGCTGCCTTCTCCCAGTTATGCCCATTTATGCCCAAGTATGTCTTAATTTCTCAATTTCACTCCTTTATTTATCAATTTAAATAATTAAACAGGTAACTGAACATCTCCTTTTATAAGTGAAAAGACCTTTGAGTGAATGTAAGTTCTTTCAGCCAGGGACTAGACTACCCCCATCTCTGAACCAAGTGAATATTACGTTTAAGGAGAGGAAGATTTGTATAGAGGTCATTGATGGAAGTTCAGAGAAGTATGAAAGACTGGAGCCTGGGGTGAGGAGGACTAGTTGCTGGGAGAGAAATTCAGAAAAGGAAGAGAGAAGAAGCTGAAGGCAAGCTTCTCTATCAAAATCTTTCTTAGGGCCAGTCTTGAGCTGAGGAAAAGGTTCTTCTGAATCCTCTTTTCTCCACCACCAGGATTCAGAAGGTAGCCTTACAACATTAGCACTGTATTTACAAATAGTTTTTGTGTTAAGTAGAGTGCTGGCCAGTAATTTAACTACTAGTATTTCCCTATTTCTTTAGGAAAATGTATTATGAGTTTCAAATAACTTATAAATAAAACTTTGGAAGATAACGTATTAGTAAGTTGGGAAATGCCTATAATATGAAAATATTTATATTTTTCTTTCTGTCGTGAATTTATTTGTGTTATCTTTCCTTGGAGCCTTCTCCAAATTTCCCACAAATTTCTGTAAATTCTGATGAGTATTTCTTTGTATATGGGTGTAAAGAAGCAGTCTATTCGTGGAAGTTTCTGCCTTGCTAAATTGGGGCAGGGATCAAGAGACAAGAAATATACTTCTTCCCAATTGTTTCCTCCTAATGAAAGAATAAGGTCCAGCTACACATCTTCTTTCTTTAGCTGTGTGGAGAACCAAACTGAAAACCAGTTTGAGGACTGTTACACATGAGTTATATAAAACAAATAAATGCAGGTCACTCATTCTAACATGGTCACATGTTATTAGTCCTTCCAATAGAAAGGTAACTTCTTTCTAATAATAATAATACTAGTAGCCAACATTTATTAAGTGCTTACTACATACTAAGCCCTTTTGTAAGTGATCTCATTTACTTCCACAACATCCCTATGATACAGACAGAATTATTGTTGCTGTCGTTAGGTTCCATCAGATCGATTCCAACTCATAGCAACCCTATAGGACAGAGTAGAACCATCCCATAGGGTTTCCAAGGCTGTAATCTTTACAGAAGCGGCCAGTGGGCTCAAACTGCTGACCTTTCGGTTAGCAGCCAAGTGCTTAACCATTGTGCCACCAGGGCTATCCCCATATTACTGATGAAGAAACTAAAACTTAGGGAAGTTTAGCAACTTGCTGCAGATAACTCAGTAGTGATAACAGGTCTCTCGAATTCCACCAAAGCCCATGTTCTCAACAACTGTGGTAGTATGCACCTAAAAACCCAAAGCCCCAGAAGAAGGACTTGGAGAGTTTATTGGAGGTTTATTTCACTATTAAAAATGGCATTCATATTAGATTGCTTATTCATGTCAAATTATTACTCACTGAGTCTTAAAAACAAACTTTATATTTACCAGGCTAAAGTAGAATATGTCATCAAAGGAAATTCTGCTTCTATTTAACACAATATATAATTATGGTTAACATTATTTGAATACTAGCAAATGTCTTTAAGAGCAAAGGAACATGGTCTCCAGTACATAATATTCTGGAGCTAGGCCTACATAGGCTGCTCCAGCTTATAAACACCCAACCCCTCTATGAGCCTTTCCTGGAACAGCCCCCATGTACAGCTCCTGCCACAGAACCCCCTCTTCTCTTTCCCACTGCTGTGGCTGTTGCTTAATCTTCCCACCCTGCCCTTTCCCTGCATCAGATGTTGCCTCCAGTGCTTCCTATCCAAACCCCCATCCCTATCCCATTCAATACAGCAGTGTGGGAGGGGCTGCATACTCAGTGACATGGTTGGAAATGGGTTCTGAGAGGAACCTCGACTCACTTCAGGCCTAGGGGCAGATTCTGTACGAGGCTAAGGATCCTAGTACAGCTGGAAGAGGGATGATCCCAGTCAATCCTGACCTAGATTCAGTCTGAGTCTCCAGAGTAACACTCGCCCTGAGCACACTGAGGAGAAGAAAAGGAACTGGAGGTTGGGCAACCGTCCCACCTGGCTAGTACTACTAGAGCTTTACAAATGCACCCATTTCTGATTTTATTTTGGGGTTGGGAAAGAGATATATCTGGCGTTCCATTTGTTTCTGTCCTTCTAGTTTTAGGTGGAAACCTTTGCACCCTGACAGGTTGGAGTGGAAAGGAGAATCACCATACCTCCTGTTGCTGGGCAACAAGAACATAGTGGCAGGAGCCACTCCAAAGCCTGTGGAGAGCTGGTGCTCAGGCCCACAGCAGGGCTCTCCCAAGAGAAACAGACATGGGACCAGCTGTGGAAGTGGATTCCTTCCCACCTGAGCCATTTCCCACAGACCACAAATTCCACAATCTCTCTCTCTCTTTTGGATTGAACTGTGCCCCCTCAAAATATGTGTTGGGATCCTAACCCCTATACTTATAAATGTAGTCCCTTTTGGGAATAGGGTTTCCTTTATTATGTTAATGAGGCCCTATCAGTAGGGTATGTCCTAAACCTAATTACTTCTGAGTTATAAAAAGGGCAGATTAGACACAGAAGCAAGCACAAAGGAAGATAGATGCCACATGAATATCACCAAGGAACAAAGGATCACAGGGGCTGCAGAAGCTGAAAGAGACAAGGATCTTTCCCCAGAGCCAACACAGAGAGAACCTTCCTCTAGAGCCAGTGCCCTGAATTCGGACTTCTAGCCTCCTAAACTGTGAGAAAATACATTTCTGTTCTTAAAGCCACCCACTTGTGATATTTCTGTTACAGCAGCACTACAAAACTAAGATACTCTCTCTATCCCCAAAATGTGAGAAAAGTCAGCAAATTTAACTAGATAGGAGCCAGTCAGAGTTTTGAGATGACTAAATTTTCTTTCTTTACCTCTTTGATTAGGTTAAGTTGGCACTCCATGAGTTGCTTCCCCCTTCCCGCCACCCCATTTGATCAGTTGAAAAACTAAGGAGTTATGTTGGAGAAGGGGACAGGAAACCAGATAGTGACTGGTATAAGAAACAGAGTATTACTTCACCTGGTCCCATTTTCCAACATGAAGCTTGTTAGACGGTATATATTAGTGGACCAAAACACCATATCATCCAGTCCTCCAAGGAAATACTCCTGGAATTGTTCTACCAGAAATGGGGACTTTCTAGAATAAGTAGGATAAAGCTATGGCAGAGAGAAAAAGAAATAAATGAATATAGTGCTATTCCTGGTGTCTGTATAGTCCTTTAAACCAAGAGTAGAGCATTTATTTGTTTTACCTTAGAAACAGCTAACATCTCACCATACCTGCAAAATAAACAATAATTTTGACAGTGAGTTATGATTTCTACTGAGAAATTAAGGAAATATTAAAGAAAAAGCACCATCTACATGTATCTACAACCCCCTTTGAATAAGCAAAATCCTTATGTACTCTCAGACGCCTGGAACATGGAAAACTGTGCCAGTGAAGTCATAATAAAATCAGTGGCAAATTTCCCCCTGGGTGACACTTACATTTCCAAGAACTGAAGATATGAACAGTCAACAATTACATTTTTGGTGATGACGTTTCGGCCATAGAGTTTCTTATAAATTACCAATAGATCTTTGGTGGGCACATACCTAAGAAATGGGTTAGAATAAAATAAGAGTTATATTCATTATGAAGTTGAAGATAATAATAACAACAGGAGGAGCAGCAGCAACAGCAGCTAACGGTTATTCCACGATTATTATGTGCTGGACACCTTGCAAGGGTCTTTACATGCACTGTTTATTTAAGCCTACATGCTATCATTTTCCCACTTTATATAAGAAGAAACTGAGGCTCAGAAAAGTTACATAATTAGCCTAATGACACAGAGCAAGCAACTGGTACTTTAATTAAATATTTATGAAGGTACATTCAAAGATAGGAAACTAACTATAAAGTACAAACCAAACCAGACTCGTTGCTGACGAGTCGTTTCAGACTCGTAGAAGCTGTCTAGGACAGGATAGACCTGCCACATATAGGGTTTCCAAGACTGTAATCTTTACAGAAGCAGACTGCCACACCTTTCTCCTATGGAGCGGCTGGTGGGTTCAAACCACAGATCTTTCAGTTAACAGCCAAGTGCTTAATCACTGTGCCACCAGGGCTCCATATAAAGTACAAGAGGGGTATTTAATTAGTGTGAATTCAAAGTTCAAAGAACAATATAAAGGATCATTTATTCTTTTGACTTGAATTATTCTTACTTTGAAAATTCCAAAAATGGCTCCTCACCTCAACACCTCAGTTTCAGAGGGCACAGTGTTAAACAGAACAATTCTAAGTCAGATTTCTTGCTCACAGCTATTAGTTATTTCAGTTGGAAGAGAAGCAGCATCTTAAAAATTAGATTTATACTGAATCAATCTTTTATCCTAATTTCAAAGACCTTAGAGTATATGAGGCAAAAATCACAACAAATGAAACCTGATTTTAATGTTTACAAGAAATAAACTATTGAGATAGCTTTTTTTTTTTTAATGAGAGCATCAGAATGGCCTTCCCAATAAAAATAGCTTAAAAACATTAGATAAAATGACAAAAATATTTTGTTTGAATGAATCACTAAGCTAGTGAGAAAGTGAAAATTTTCCAAAGGCTAAAAACAAATTGAAAGTGGAAATCTTGGAAGGTAAGTAAGTGGGGAAGCCAACTTCTGCTCTGAAGACATCTGCCAAACCCTGAGAACCTAGAGTTTTAGTTTTGATGGCTGCAGGGTATACAGATAGAGCATTGTCAGTTGCTATCGAGTTAACACCTACTCATGGGGACCCCATGTGTGTCAGAGTAGAACTGTGCTCCATAGAGCTTTCGATGACTGATTTTTCAGAAGTAGATTGCTAGGCCTTTCTTCCAAGGCATCTGTGAGTGGACTTGAACCTCCAACCTCTCGGTTAGCAGCCAGGCATATTAACCCTTTGCACTACCCAGGAACTCCAGTGAGGCATCTCAGAGGAGACCCTTGTATAAATATAGAACACAAAAGGCTACACCTTCCACATGAGTATGAACAAGAAATAAACCCATTATACAGACAAGGACAACAAAGAAACCAGCTTGTCTTGATCTTGGCAATAAGCAGCCAGAGAAGAAAAATCTGTCCCTCACATTTGTTTTGTCTTGCATTCATGCTACCTGTGTAGTCAGAAATAAAAGAAGATGGTCCAGGGTTCATAGTGTCTCCAGGCAGCCTGCAGATGCAAAATCTTCTCTATAGGAATGCAACTCTAACTCAAGTCCCAACTAATTAAAGCACCACAGAATATAACCAAAAGATGACCAGTGTAACTACAATAACGTCTGCAAAAAGTAGACTTGAAAGCAACAAGCACTACTAGAGATAAAGAGGGTCACTACATAAGGATAAAAGGTGCAATTCAGCAGAAAGATACAAGATTTTGAAATTTGAAGGCACCTAACAATATACCCCCAAAACTGATATAAAACAAACCTTGACAGAACTACAAGGAAATTGAAAAAGCCACTAAAAGGGGGAGGTTTTTAATAAATTTCTTTCTGGGAAATTGTTAGATTGACATGATAAATATTGTTCTTACCAGCGCCGTGCAAGGTAATTAAAATTAAATTCAAACTGGCTCAACACATCCCCTCCTACAGTATGAGAAAAATATTTACATTTGGTGAGTTAGTGACAACACAAGTTCTCACAATCCAGATTATTAGCTCTGCACATGGTTGCATGTTTCTGTTCATTCTTTTATGTCTTTCTTTAAGAAAAAATGGTCTTTTAAAATCTTACCTAGTGAAACATATAAATTAAGAATCATCCATATAACCAAAGTATTTTTTCAACTTAAGGAAAGATAGAGCATAATCATTCTTTTAAATAAATGCCACTCACTACCAGTTTGTATATTTAAAGGTAATTTACTACAGAAAAAAAGATGGAGTTTACCAATTTAAAGCTAATGTTTTGGGAGACAATAGCTAATGAATTTTAATCCAATATAAAGGTGAAGTGTTTCTAAAATTATGACATAAGTCAATGATAAAATGTCATTTTTTACAAAAAATGACATGTACGCACTTTTCAGAAATACATCTCTATGTTAAATGATGTATACATTTACTCTAAACAAACTGCAATATTAAATAAAAGCCAGTTAGTATAGGCTAATGGCAACATATAATAAAAATACACATATTTAAAATACAGAAGTGACTTCATTATAAGTGAAATACAAATACCACAGGAGAAAATTTGATAAATGTAAATAAACAGTACCAAAATCACCAGCCGAATGAGCATCAGAATAGGAGTTGTGAAAATCAATCTGAGAAAGAAAGAGAACCATCTGGTATATATCACAAAATATAGACAAAACTCTTACTCCCAAATTAAACGAATCGTGGAGAGATTACAGACTAACCCAAACAATTGCTGAGAATATGCATAATGGGTAGACTCAATTTTCATGTATCTTATTTTAGTTTAAAAAAAATTGTATTGGCAGCTGAGTTGTATACTTAATGTCTCGTAACAAAGCTATTGCAGACAATTATGCCTTACAGGATATATACAAAATCTCTACTGAGTCCAAGTTTAAACTTCTAACAGAATGAAATTAATAGCAATAAATGACCAGAGGGGACTTACAGGAGCTAAGTCACCAGGTACGATCACAATTTTCAGTCTGGGGATAGTGCATTGTCATAGGTTAAAAGAAAACAAAGCCAAAACCAAAAAGCCTGTAACTATTTTTTTTAAATAGTACCAACTGGCAGGTATTAATTTCTTTAAGACACAGAGGTGGTTGAAACAGCTTGAATAAAGACATAAAATTTCTGAAATACTGTTGATGACTAGAACAGAAAATCACATCTGTCCCTGTTTTCAATGAACACTGTGGATGAATTTACCCAGGTAGCCAGAAAGAGTAAGAGGAATGAATAGGAAAAGATGGAGATCCGACCAAAACCACTTTGGGCAAGAAGACTTGTTTCCATATAACATCTGAATGACCTAAAGTTTTTCTTTCCTTTAGAAGGATCAGAGTGATACTGAGCATGACAGTATCACTCCCATAACGTCATTAACCATAAAGATATGTACTCACAGCTCCCATTGTCTTAAGGAATCCTTGCTCAATGCCCAGACTATGCCAGCTGACATCTGCCACCATGTGAGAGGCAATTCCAAACAAGAAAGCTACCAATTTCTCTGTGTCCTGCCAAAGAAGCAAATTGAAGTCATGTGTGTTTGGGTTATTTTATAACAACAATCCTATAAAAAATTTTAATAAATATGAATTCATTTCCATTATTGCAACTTAACAAAAAAAACAGAGGCAGGTCCATTGTAGTTTCTAGCTACCAAAAAACACCTAGGATTTTTTGAAATGTTTTGCCTGCTTTGGAAGTGCTTTCAGATTAATTACTACTGGAGCAAAAATGACCACGTGGCAGAAGCCCCCAATTTTTTAAAAAATCTATCATATACGTATGATAAAACCAAAAAAAAAAAAAAAACATTGCTGTCAGTTCTGACTCACAGCAACCCTATAGGACAGAGTAGAACTGCCTCATAGGGTTTCCAAGGAGTGGCTAGTGGATTCAAACTGCTGACCTTTATAGTTAGCAACTGAGCTCTTAACCACTGCACCACCAGGGCTCCATATATACGATATATATATATGTGAGATATATATATATATAATTTTTATTATTGTCAAATATAAAGAGCACATTTACCAATTCAACACTTTCCATGTGCACAATTCAATAAAACCAATTACATCAATCATATAGTGCAATCATCACCGATATCTGTTGCCAAATTTTCCATCTCCATAAACAAAAACTGAATGCTACCTAAACAATGGTTCCGCCCTTCCCTGTCCCTCCTGCCCCTAGCAATCACTATTAAACTCTAATCTCTTTACCTTTGCCTATTCTAGGTATTTCCTATTAGTAAAATCATACAGTATTTGTCCCTTATAATTCATTCAAGTGTTAGCCAGCCACCTACTTTGTAACTAGTACTGTGTTTGGCACCATGACCCTAATATCTCACTGCATGTTTTCTCCTTTTCAAAATGGGCGACTGAGAGCTTGACATAACTAATGCCATAATGATACTCTAAGTAACCTATAAGTTTTTTTGCTTGGTATTTTGTACATTTTCACTTTCAACGTCCTTGTTTATTATACCAGCTGCACTGGTCTCTTTCCCAAGGGGTGTTGCGGCTCTTGCAGGCTTGGTCTCCCGCCTTTTCTTTGTTCTCTTGGAGGATGGCCTTCAGCCTGCAAGGCGGCAGCTAGGAAGGCTGCCTGGCCCTTTTGGTCTGCTACTCTCTTTCTTGCTCCTTAGCTCAGTCAGAGTAAACTTGGCAGGCCAGTTCCACTAGCTGAGAGATTTTTATATAAGTTTTTTGCCTATTACAAACATAAAGATTAGCATCCAGATGTCTAGAATGCATATCTTTAGTCTAATAGTTTCTTGTAATTGTCTTGTGATGTATACTCATCCCACCATCTGTGGGCTACGTGTCTGAAGACACTAGGTAATCCTTGCCAAAATGATATATAAGCTCTGATGTAGAATTGCCTTTCGGGACTCCATGAAGACAGCCAATGTTGCTATTGGACTCCCCATTGGTGTCATGTCCTAATAAACTTTCTCTCTCCTTCTGACTTGGAGTACATTTCATTGGCTCAGCTGCTTCAGGGCGCGGACCCTAATCGGGCAACAGCACTGAAGGTACAATGGTGAATGACCCCTCACAGAGTCTGGAGTGAGGGTACAAATGGGGTAAGTGTAGATGCAAAAAAGTACTTGTCAAGCTTGGAACAGAATTGTTTTACGACTAGAGAGTCATGCCTACCTTCTCCCAGGGAAGGGGATAGTTCTCTCGGATGTAATGAATGCTTGCATTAAGAAATGGAGTCCAGTGGGTGCTCTCAGACACTTCATGGTATTTTCCTGACAAAACAAAAACAGCGCTCAAGATCCTTTCTTAAAAAGTTGGAGATTCTCATTACTCAGCCATGAAGAGAAATGAAGTCCTGATACATGCTATGACATGGATAAACTTTGAAAACATTATGCGGAGTGAAATAAGTCAGTCACAAAAGGACGAATATTGTATGATCCCACGTATATGAAGTACCTGGAATAGGCAAATGTATAGAGACCAGAGTTTATCAGTGGTTACCAGGGGCAGGAGGGGGAAGGGGGATTCATGTTTAGCGGACACTAAGCTTCTGTTAAGGGTGATGGAAAAATTGGAAATAAACAATGGCAATGGGTGAACAACACGATGAATGTAATTAATGTCACTGAACTGTACATGTAAAAAATGTTAAAATGTCAAATGCTTTGTTACATATATATTTACCACAATAAAGAAAAGAGTCACCTGATACTGAGATTTAAAAAACAAAAAAAAGTTGGAGCGTCTCAGTCAAATATTCACTAAACCAGACCTTCCACCACCACCTGCCTCCCTTTTCCTCCTGCTCTCCAAGCCCTTTAGTTTCTTCTATTGGGGTTCAAAGGAAGCCTCTAGAACAGAAGAGCAGGTGGAAATTTTGGAAAAGGTACAGTTCTGTCTGACTGATGTCTAGAGCACCACGGTAAGAGGAAAGGAGCCTAAACTGGCTCGCAGCATCTCTGTCACCTGGGCTCCACAGAGACTAGAGGGTTTTCCATTTCTGTGCCCTAAAGCTAAGGGAGAGTCCCAGGATGGTGCAAACAGTTGACATGCTTGGCTGCTAACTAAAAGGCTGGTGTTCAGGTTCACCCAGAGGCACCTTGGAAGAAAGGCCTGGGGACTTACTTCTGAAAGAATCAGCCGTTGAAAACCCTGTGGAGCATAGTTTACTGTGACACAAACGGGGTCACGTGAGTTGAAGTCCGCTGGACAGCAACTGGAACTGGATAGAAAGCTAAGGAGATAAGTTTTTTTTTTTAAATCTTCTTTGTCCATAACAGTCAGCCTCCCTAACAGCATAAAAAATAGAAGCAGCTACTCCCAAGGCTTTCAAGAATTTGAATTTATAACAATTGTTTTCAGATGGCACAGACCCCAGTGAACCTTCAACCCAGCAGCATCTAAGTGGGCCAGTGGGTACCCCGTGCAGTTCTTCATTCCCACAGGAGAGGAAGAAAAGACAGGAAGTGGCCTCTAATCTAAATCTCCAAAGGCCAAACTGCACAGGGCGCCAAATGTCAGTGGAGCAATGGAAAGCAAAATTCCAGAGTTCGGATCCCTCAGTGCAATTTTTTAATGCTATTGCTGCAGTAAAAATTGCCTGATCAGTTTTAAAGCATTGGTTTTTTCTGAAAGCTGTTTTCAAAGAAATTAACTTGTAACTAAGAAATTTTATTTGCTCCAACAGTTTTCCTAGAGATAAAATTTCTAATAATTCCTATCCTTTAGAATACAGTTAAGAATCCAGAATTAAGTACACCCATAGCACTTTAAGGATCTCTGGTGGCGCAGTCACTATGTGTCGGAATTGGCTGGACAGCGACAGGGGTGGCGTAGTCGTTAATACGCTCAGCTGCTAATCAAAAGGTTGGTGGTTTGAACCTACTAGCCACTCGGCGGTGGTTCCACAAAGATTTACAGGCTTGGAAACCCTATGGGCAGTTCTACTCAATCCTACAGGGTTGCTATGAGTCAGAATTAACTTGATGGTGGTGGGTTTGGGTTGGGAGCTCTTTTGGCCAACTTCCACTTAACTAAATCGCCAAAACCTGTTGCCAAATCCACCGCTGAGTGGCTGGTGGATTCGAACTGCCGACATTTTGGTTAGCAGCCGAGCTCTTAACAACTGCACCACCAAGGCAGCTAAATTGCCAGGCTGACCAAATAAATAACTGACGGGAAGTAAAAGAAAACTAACCTTTGGAACACGCTGGATGCTGACAGCAAACAAGAGAAATTGTACTATAGCTTACCAAGAGTCAGCCAGGTCTGTTTCTAATCCTGTTTGTGCCAGTTGCCCTTGTTATTGTAATCATAGAATTTAATTCAATATTAGGTAAACTGAAGAAATATTAATACAGAAACAAAGAACCGTTTCTTTGAAAACTAGGTATCTAAGAAAACTAAGTGCTTTGGAAAGATGTAATAAAAGTGAATCACCAAAAAAGAAAAAAACAAACAAAACCCTGCTGTTGAATTAGATACATATGAGTAAAAGATTTTTAAAAATTCATAAAAATCTAAGAGGAGTCTAAATTCAAATTCCTTGTCATCATCATATATTTTATAATTCTTCTCTTTAATTGACTTTTTTGATTTCTAAATCATACACTGGTCCCACTCACATCAGATAAGAGGGTATTCACTGCTTTTTAAAAAATTGGAAAATGCTGGATAGTTTGCATCTATTTTCCACTCTTCACAGTATCTTTATAATGTGTGTTGTCAGTCTTTAAAAATGGTATTCATTAAGAAATGTTTCTCAAATTTATTTGACAAAAAAAAATCCTTTTTAATTTCTTTTTTGTGTAAGATATAAAGGGACTGTTAAAATATCAAGGGACAGTAGAGTCCCCTGAATACAGATGGGCAAACGCTAAACTAGAAATAATAGGTTAGAAAGAGGGAGAACTGCAATAAGCAGACAAAATACAGTAAAACTTGCAAACGCCAGAACCTGTGTAAGGCGGAAACCTGTCAGAGATGGAGAACTCTAATATTTTCCCCTAAAAGGAGTGATACAAAAGTGGTAAGACTGCACCCTGTCAAAGGTGGAAAACCTGCAAGACCCGGAAAAACAAGGCAGTGTCGTGGAGTTCTGGCTCTCACAGGTTTCACTGTAATAAAACAAACTAAACCCGTTGTTGTTGAGTGGATTGAAATGATAGTTAACTGGCTAAAAAGGAAACAGGAAAAAAAAAACTTGTAAATATGAGAAATACAAAAACTTAGTTGTCTGGGACCATAGCTATAGGGGTGAGTAGACCTAAACATGCCACTGGCTCTAATAGCATCACTGCATTAAAAGAATGGGCTAAGGGCTGATGACCTCAAGATTCCAAAAATGGTTTACAGGATTACCCAGTGTGCTGGAGTCTTCTGTTGTTCCCTCCAGATCCTTGCTCCACCTTTCTTCACCCCACAGGTGACCTGCTCCAACTGGCTTCTCTGTCCTCTGGCTTTTGGTTGGGTTGGTTCTGGCCAATGGGGAGAACCAGCTAGAGATGAGAGGGAGGGATATTTATTCCCACCAGCTCACCTTCTGTGGAGTCACAGCAGGCTGGTTGTGTCCCTTGACTGAAGGTCCAGTTCCTGCCAAGTGGCCCCCTCCATGCAGCATCCTGTCTGCAGACCCCAAAACCACTCCCTCACCTTACACCTGTCAGGCCCAGTGGTGGCCCTGCTTTACTGCTGCAGTACTGCACTATCCTGTTGATTTCCTGATATGCTGTCCACACCTTTGTAGATGGTCCCTTTGTGAAATGTCCCTCAAATGACTCAATGTGAGTGTGCCTTCTCAGTCCTGCTGTAGTCATACTGGTACAACCCATAAGCTCAGTTACTGATAACACTACCGTAGATTTGTATAAATCTTGACAAAATACCACTCAATAATGCCAACAACAATCCAGCGAAGAGGGCATTAGGGCATTATCTTACTATTCAAAAAGGAAAAAACAGTTGCTGTCGAGTCAATTCTGACTCATGGTGATCCCATGTGTGTCAGAGTAGAACTGTGCTCCATAGTGTTAGCAGCCAAGCACTTTAACCATTTGCACCAATGCTATTTTACAGATACTAAAACTGAGACTCAGCGTGCAAATGGTTTTTCCAGGATCACATGTTAAAAGGCAATATAGAAGGAACCAAAACTTAGACCTTTCAATTGCTTGGCAAAAGTTTTCTCCTATGCCACGAAGTGGTAAATCAAGTTAGGATGCTTAGAGTGGTTTTCATTAAAAAATACTAAAATTTTCAGAAATTTATATGCTTAAACAAGTAGGTTTTAGTGAAATGGAAACAGCACTTATGTGAACTAAGTCTTTGACCAACAATAGTGGAAAATATGTTATTATATTTTTAAAACTTATACCCATCCCTGTTAGCCAAGTAAAGTGACATGGTTCGGTGTGCAAAACTTTGTCTTACCTCCTTTGCAGATGCTGGGGTAAAAAGAATCAGGAAACACCGTTCCAGCCTGATATGCATCCTGGTGTTTAAGTAACAGCTGGGGAGCAGGAAAATACAGAGATTAGAGTGCAAGAGTCAACAGCCCGGGAAATGCAGGCCCAGTCAATTTCCACCTATGAGATGCTGGAACTTGTTGGGGAGGAGGAGGAGGGATGGAAGGAAGGAAAGAAGGGATGAAGGGAGGATGAGAGAGAGAGAGGGAGGGAGGGAAGGGAAAGGAAAGGAATGGAAGGAAGGAAGGAAGGGAGGGAGGGAGGGAGGAAAGGAAGGAAGGAAAGGAAAGAAAGAGATAAAAACCTATGCATAATCCAAGACGATACACTACAATATATAACTTCAGTTTCTTTCCTACCAAACACTGACAGGCTAATTAAGAAGTGGCAAAAATCACCTACTTGAATTTCACCTTTCATTTTTTCTGTCCACCCACTAGAGCCATATTTCCCTAAGGCTATTTTGCTTACCAGACCTGAGTTTTTGTAAGAGTTTCATTAATCCTCATTGAAATGAGAAAAATTCAAATATATGTCAGTTTATAGTCGCTACATGTGCTTTAGTATAAGATTATGTCCTTAGTGCACTGGGAAGGTTAAAACAAAGTATCCTGTCTCTTTTAAAAAGATGTGATGTCAGATGGTGGGGATTTTCTTTTAAACATTCTTCCTAAGTAGGCCAACTCATTCAACTTCATTTGAATCCTCTTGTGGTATGCACTGGAGTCCTGGTGGTGCAGTGGTTAAGAGCTACAGTTGCTAACCAAACAGTCAGCAGTTAGAATCTACCAGTCACTCCTTGGAAACCCTATGGGGCAGTTCTACTCTGTCCTATAGGGTCACTATAAGTTGGAATCAACTGGACGGCTACAGGTTTAGTTTTTTTTTTTTTTCCTTGGTGTGCCTAGCTGCATGCTAACCAGTTGCTGTCGAGTCAATTCCAACACATGGTGACCCCATGTGTGTCAGAGTAGCACTGTGCTACTATGCTATCTGCTCGTGGCAGTTTTTCAGAAGCAGATCACTAGGTCTTTCTTCTGAGGCACCCTGGGTAGACTTGAACCTCCAACCTTCTGGCTAGTAGCTGAGTGAGTTAACCATTTGCATCACCCAGGAACAGCTGCGTGCTGGAGGCTAGAAAACAAAAGACATTTCTGAGACTCTCTTACAGCTCAGGGTTTGATGTAGTCCAGATTCTCCATGGATCCCACTTCTACCTCTTTTGTTTCTTCAGTTAGCATAGAGGGTTTGGTTTTTCTGCAAAAGTGGTAGCAGAGGTCCCAATGTTTGCTAGTGAGGAGTCTGACTGAGGTGATGAGGTCCTGGAGCTTATAGTCAAGGTGGTGGCTTCTTAATTCCCTAACTATGTATGAAATAATTGGACCTGGAGCTAATAAATGGGGCAGTGGCTTCTTGATTATGGCTTGGGTAGCAGCTCCTTGGCCCACCAGTCCTGTGTATAGTTTTGGGAGTCCTTCCTGGATCTCATCCTAGAGCCTGTTCCTCCAGTCTTCGTAAAAGATCTATAAGCAAGAAGTCCCAAATTTCTGGCAGTGAGCCCCTCTTTGCTTAAGCTAGCCGGAGTGGTTTCCATTATCTACAAGTGAACTCTAATACTAAAACAAAAAACCAAACCAGTTGCTGTTAATTCTGATTCATGCTAACCCCATGTGTTTCAGAGTAGAACTGAGCTCCATAGGGCTTTCATGGTTTTGACCTTTTGGAACAGATTGCCAGGTCTTTCTTCTGAGGCGGCTTTGAATAGGTTCGAACCACCAACCTTTCAGTTAGTAGCCAAGCACTTAACCATTTGCACCACAGTACAGTGGGAAAAATAATGGTTTGGCAACCTAATTTTTTTTTTTTTTTTTCAGTAAGGAGGTATTAGTATGTGGACCATATATAGAGGAAACAAAACTCCTCCGAAAGACTTAAAAAATAAAGAAAGATAGTATCATCTGTTTTGTTAGTTTTTTGTTGTTGTTGTGTTGTTTGTTTTATTTCTTTTGCTTCTTCTGGTCAGCATTCTATTCCTCTCCTTCTAGAGAGATGAATCCATTTCATTTGCACCAGGTGGGGGTGACCACAGGGGTAAAAGGCCAGTATACCCATCCCCCACCACAGTCTGGCTTAGAGATACACATTTGACCCAAGCTATTTGGGTCAGAACCTTCCCCAAGACTACTCAGCTAGAGCTCTGGGGAAGACACCTTCTTTCCTTTGGGGCTGCTAAGCTTTAAGGATGAGTCCTGATCTGTGGGTGTCCTCCCCACAGAGAAAGGTAGAGTACTGTCTAGACCCCTGGATCCAGCTCTACCCCTGGGTGATCAGCTACATGGACCAGTAAACTGCCCTTTTTTCTAAAAATAGTCTGAGTTGGACTTTTGTCACTTGAAAATAATAATTAACTCTATTGAATATTTACTTTATCAGCCACTGTTTTAAGCACTTTATATGTACTAAAACTTGTTGAGCCTGCATGGCCTAGTGAGGTAGATAATGTTATTTAACACGACAAAATAATTTTGAAGTAAATTTGAAAAATAAATGCACAAAACAGGAAACTGCTGGAATAAAAAGAAGAGTATTGAGGGAGGATATATCCTTCAGATATAAAAATGTATTTTTAAGCTAGAGAAATTAAAATGGCACGATACTAGCACCAAAACAGATAGCTAGACTAATGAAACATAATAACAAGTACAGAAACAGGTTCAAGCATACATAATAATTTAATATATGATTTTAAAAAAAAAAACCATTACCATCGAATTGATTCTAACTCATGGCAACTCCACGTGTTACAGAGCAGAACAGAGACTCTGTAGGGTTTTCTTGGCTATAATCTTTACGGACACAGATCGCTAGGCGCTGCTGGGTGGGTTGAAACTTCCAAACTTGAGGTTAGTAGTTAAGTGCAAACCGTTTGCACCACCCAGGGACCTTCTTATATATAATAGAGATGAGTGAAGGATTGAGTAATCAGCAAAGAGTGTTGGCACAACCCCAATATCTATGAGTATATCTAGCTTACTCTTTGCGCATGGAAGAATCCAGGCTTAGCCTAGATAACACTGATTGAAATTAACATTACCAATAACAGATCCCTGTTATTGGATCTCTATCATACTTTATGCCAAAATAAACACAAGAGGACTTAGAGAGTTAAATGCTTATATGAACACTTAAAAATTATGCTGAGTTAAATAAGTCAGTCACAAAAGGAAAAATAATATATGATCCCTGTTACATGAAATAAGCAAATGTATAGAGACCAAAGTTTATTAGTGGTTACCTGGGGGTGGGAGGGAAAAGGAAAGGGGAGTCATTGCTTAGGGGACACTAAGTTTCTGTTAATGGTGGTGGAATAATTTGGAAAAGGATAGTGGTGGTGGTTGTATAACATGATGAACATAATCAATGTCACTGAGTTGTACATATAAAAATAGTCAAACTGGCAAATATTTTTTATACATATTTTTACCACAACCAAAAAAAAAATGGAGCCATAAATTAAACAGGACAAAATTTAAGTGAATAATCATATCATTTTGGAGTGGGAATTATTTTTCTAAGCATAACATACAGGCAGCACCATAAAAGAAATGATTAGTGGATTTAGCTGCATAAAAATTTTAAGAGTTCTGCATGGTAAAAAGCACATGAAACATATTTACATATTTAAAAGAAAAATAAATAACCAAGGAAATCATTTGATAGATGAAGGGCTAATATTTCTAATACAGGCAGTCCCCACATTATGAACAAGTTCCATTCCTAAATCTATCTTTAAGCCAAACATCAGAACAGTTAGGTATGGTTCATATCTAACATCCGTTAGTCAAATATTTGTCTTCGTGTATAGTGTACCTTTCTATGCATAAAAAGCATTAAAGAAACACTTCCAGATACACTGAAACATCTTTAACATAATCATACAGTAATAATAATAAAGTTTTGATAAGCATTGCAAAGTAGCGCCTGTTTGTTATTACGAACCATTGTATGTATGTCAAATTTTTAATATAATAGGCTTTACGGGAGTTGATTCGTAACTATGGGTTGTACATAAGTCAGACATTTATAACCCAGGGACTGCCTATAAATAAGATATTCTTACAAATCAAGAAAGAAATACTTTAATAGAAAAATGAACAAAAGACACAGACAATTCACAGAATAGAAATGGCCAATAAACCCTTCAAAATATATTTAATCTTATTAATCATAAATTAATGGTGGTGTCAAAGGACACCTAGGAGACAGTCAGGACTTTCACCACCACCCAGCAGTAAGGAGGACATCCCTACCCTCTGGTGTCAGTGGAAAACCAGTTACCCTTGAGTCGACTCCAGTGGAAAACCAGTCACCCTTGAGTCAACTCCAATTCATGGTGACCCCATGTGTGTCAGAGTAGAGCTGTGCTCCATAGGGTTTCAGTGACCGATTTTTTGGAAGTAGATTGCCAGGCCTTTCTTCTAAGGTGCTACTGGGTGAACTCCAACTTCCAACCTTTCAGTTAGCAGCCGAGTGTGTTAACCATTTGCACCACCCAGGGACTCCTGAAAGTCATGGAGGAGAGCAGTAACTAGGCATTTCTACCCCTCTCAGAAAGAATAAACTGGCACTTCTGGCAATAAACTGGCAATGAGAAGATAGGGTCCCTCCTTCCCCGCCTGGAGTGGTGTCAAGAGGAAAGCAGTTAGAAGAGAAGGTTTAAATAAGACCCGGAGTCTCATAACATAATACCCAAAATGCCTAGATTTCAATAAAAAATCACTCATCCTACCAAGTAGCAGGAGGATCTCAAACTGAATGAAAAAATACAATCAATAGCTATCAGCACTGAGATGGCAGAAAAATTAGAATTATCTGACATATCTTTTAAAACAGCCATAATAAAAATGCTTCAATGAACAATTACAAACATGCTCAATACAAATGAAAAAAAAAAAGAAAGTCTCAGCAAAGAAATAGAAAATATAAAGAAGAGCCAAATGGAAATATTAGAACTGAAAAATACAACACAAAAAATGAAAGTTAACATCATCACTAATGGGACAAATTACCATTGCTTGCCTTCTGATATGATGTAAGAATACAACATCACTTCAATGGTCTATGATATTCCTGCCAAAAATGCATAACCTGCAGGGGAATCTAATCATGAGGAACCATCAGACAAAACCAAATTAAGGTAGATTCTACAGTTACTGGACTGTACTTCTAAAAAATGTCAGGGTGATTGCAAAGAAGGTCTGAGGAACTGTCCTAGATTGGAGAAGGCCAAAGAGAATTGATAACTAAATACAAGACATGAGCTTGGATTAGTCTGCACCCATAATGAACACTGCTGAGACAACTGGTAAAATTTGAATGAGGTCTGAGGACCACGTGATAGAGTTATTTCAGTGTTGATTTCCTGATTTTGATTATTATACTATGGTTATGTAGAAGACTGTCCTTGTTTTTAGAAAATAAAGAATGATGTGTTAAAGGATAATGAGTATCAAGTCAGCAACTAATAGACATATACGTTATATACATATACAACAGGTATATATATATACATATATAACAATAAGTATAAATAGAGAGAGAATGAAAAAGACAAATTATCTTATTTTTATAACTTTTCTGTAAGTTTTAAAATACTTTAAAAAGCTAAAATAGGGAATCAGTTAAATTGTGGTATATTCTGGGCAATAGAAAAACATGTAATTGTTAAAAACAAGTGTCAAAATAATCTGTAGAATGTAACTTTTGTGGGGGAAAAAAGTGCTAATATATGCATAGAAACTGCCTGGAATGAAATAAAGCAAAATGTTTACACTGGTGTCTTGGTTATCTAGTGCTGCTATAACAGAAGTACCACAAGTGGATGGCCTCAACAGTCCAGTAGGCTAGAAGTCCAAATTCAGGGCACAGGCTCCAGGAGAAGGCTTTCTCTCTCTGTCGGCTCTGGAGGAAGGTCGTTGTGATGCATCAGTCTTCCCTTAGTCTGGGAGCATCTCAGCACAGGAACCTCAGATCCAAAGGATGAGCTCTGCTCCCAGCACTGCTTTCTTGGTGGTATGAGGTCACATGTCTCTCTGCCTGCTTCTCTCTTTTATATCTCAAAAGAGACTGGCTTAAGACACTAATCTTGTAGATCTCATCAATATAACTGCCACTAATCCATCTCATTACATCTTAGTGATAGGATTTACAACACATAGGGAAATCACATCAGATGACAAAATGATAGACAGTCACACAATACTGAGAATCATGACCCAGCCAAGTCCACAGATATTTTTGAGGGACACAATTCAATCCATGACAATTGGTTATCTCTGAGTTTTTTGTTTGTTTGTTTGTTTTGTTTTTTTTACAATGACCTTCTATTGTTTTATAATCTGAAAAGATGCAACCTTTTCTATTGGGGGGGTGGGGACAGGAAGAAGATGACAACCAACCAAGTAACTCCCATTGCTCTGATTCTACGCTCAACATACCACATTCTATTTATTCCTGTAGAAAGAGAATAAATATCATGGTAATAATGACCATCAATGTAAGGTCAACTGATTCCTACAGTTCTTATAAATCAATAAACTGATTTTCTCAGTTTTATGTATTAATCTCTTATTTATTTGTGTAAGTAACAGAAGTACTTAGTGTAAGTCAAGTCTTTGAGGAGCAATCACCTCTGAATGTATTAACAAAAGATAACCTCCAGAAGAATGAACAAATCAGTCTTATAAGAAGTACAACTAGAATGTTCCTTAGAAGCGAGGACAGCAAGACTTTGGCTCACTTACTTTGGACACGTCATCAGGAAAGACCAGTCGCTAGAAAAGGACGTCATGGTTGGTAAAGAAGAAGGTCAGCAAAAATGAGGGAAACACTCAGTGAGATGGGTTGACACAATAACCACAGCAATGGACTCAAACATACCAATGATCTTGAATATGACACAGGACCAGGCAATGTTTCATTCTGTTGTACATAAGGTCACCATGAGTTAGAGCCGACTTGACCACAAGAAAAACAACAATCTCCAAACAAAAAAGCTCAGTCCTAAATGTGCAGATCATGCCAAGGTACTGCCAGCCTGTGAGGATATGTCTATCCAACCTGCCAACTAGAATCCTGCAGGCCGCTTCCCTCTGTTGACTTTACCAAACTACACCAATGAGTTGACAGGTCACCAACAAGCAGGTAGTAGTAGCGAGAAGGAGCCCTGGTGTCACAATGGTTAAGTGCTCTGTTGCTAACTGAAAGGTGGCAGTTTGAACCCAATTAGCGGCTCCACGGGAGAAAAGACCAGGCGATCTGCTCGTAGAGAACACAACCTAGAAAACCCTATGGGGCACTTCTACTTATGACACATAACAACAACAGCTAATAAATAAGCTATTCTTACAAATCAAGATAGAGAGAAATAGTCTAATAGAAAAATGAACAAAAGACACAGGAATTCACAAAAGAGGTAATAGAAATGGCCAATTAACACTTGAAAATATATTTAATCTCATTAATCATATTAATTAATGACTCCTACATATGGAGATATAAAATGGAGCATCCGTCTTTGAAAATGGACTTGATATTATAAAAGGTAAAATAATCCCTATCTACCTTCATAAATTAAAAGGAGGAAGTGTGAGTACTCAGGGCATTTAGTCATTTCCAGTGAAAACATCAGAATTTGGATTAGACCAACATTGAGAGGGAGTGTTTAGTGTCCATTTCACATATTTTAAAATTAATAATACACACTTGAATAAACGTCTACTAGACAACCACTCTGCTGCACTCAGGGTTGATTTTTCACATGATGAATTAGAAAGATTCTTGCTTCCCCTTCTCTTTCTTACCTGCTTCCTACCAGGGTCATCAAAGATGACAATCTAATATAAATGTTGTTTTCTCCTAGAGGTTCTATTAAAATGGCAAGTAAGGCAGTTGAAACTAATGACTTAAAGTGGTTTGGGATATATTTCAGTTATCTTTCCATCCTGCTTTGCATACTGGATTATAAATACTTATTGGTAATAATTTGATCCAATTCTGATATGAGGGAATACTAACCAATTTTATCAAATGTAAGTATTTAACAATCATCTTTGTCACAAGTAATATTTAGCTATAGAGCTGAAAATAGTGCATAGGGTCAAAATGGGTTAAACTCGTTTGAGAATGGGTAGAGGTGAGCCATCATACAGTTCTAACAGGAATACAGTAGGAGGAGATATCGGAAGGAACATCCCAATGCATACTTCTGAGTAAATACTTCCTTCTCCTCATGGTGATGCAATTTTATACAACACAAAGAGACAAGAAGTAGAAAATAAATACTCATCTCAGATATGATCTCTCTTTATAAAAACAAGAAAGACATAATTCTTAAAACTCATTTCAAAATATTTTAAATTATTAATAACAATTATATAATATATAACATATTAGGATAGCACGTTACAAAAATACCTCACTGGGGAGGGTGTGGTTGGCAAACAAACATAGAAAGTGTGCATTATATGTGTAAAAATAAAAATACAGTATATATATGCCTTTGAATTCTGCTGTTGGTGAAGAATACTGAACATACCATGGACTGCCAGAGAACAAACAAATCTGTCTTGGAAGAAGTACGGCCAGAATGGTCCTTAGAAGCAAGGATGGCAAGACTTCATCTTGCATACTTTGGACACGTTATCAAGAGGGACCAGTCCCTGAAGAATGACATCATGCTTGGTAAAGTAGAGGGTCATCAAAAAAGAGGAAGACCCTCAATGAGATGGATTGACACAGTGGCTGCAACAATGGGCTCAAGCATCACAATGATTGTGAGGCTGGTGCAGGAATGGGCAGTGTTTAGTTCTTGTACATACGGTTGCTATGAGTCAGAACCAACTCAACAGCACCTAACAACCTAACAACATATATATATATCCATATATAATGTTCAAGTAGTACTTAGAGGTAAGCCATTCTCCAAAACATACATTTTTAATCTAAAATATTAATGTTTTGTAGAGACATACAAATAACTCTTAAAATTATTGTTTAAATATGTTTAAATATCTTTTAGGATCTTTGTTTGGTACTACTGAAGAAAGTTAATGCACAAGGAATAAAAGAAAAATCAAGCTTTGTACCTCTTTGTAGTTAACAGTCCCACCTTGAAGACTGAGAAACTCCAGAGCTCTGTGTCCTGAGAAAAATAAATACATAAATCAATTAAGTTCAAATGTAACTGAAAATGGAACTTACTAGAGATCATTTGACAAGAAAAATATTTTATTCAGTGGTAGTAACTATCAAAGAAATAGGAAATGGAAATTAAGTTTGTACTCATTTAAAATCTTCATTAGGCATAATTAGATTCATACAATATATTATTATAATACAAATCAAATTTGCATGGTGGTTTAACATTTCTGCTTAACTAGCCCTATGACTGTGGGTAAGTTATTTAACCTCTCTAGGCCTCAGTTCCCACTTATGTAAAGTTAGGTAAATAACACCCACCTTACAGGTTTGTTGAGAGAATCATAGAAAATTAATGCTAAGTGACAAGCACAATGGTTGATACATGGTAGGATCTCAGTAAACAGAATTCTCCATCATCATATTTTGTCTCACAACAACCTACTAAGGTAGATAAACCTAAGTAGGAAATATGATTGAGGGCCTAAACCACGGATTCATCAGTGATCCTCAAATGTTCTTTCATCATTGGACCATTTGGAAGGACAAAAAAACCTCAGGTCATCTACTCCACCTACATACACACCCACATAAATACATACACACCCTCATCCACACCCACACCCTGAATCTTCTTAGAATCAATAGGAAGACTAACATTCTTTGTGAAGAGATATGCAAAAGTGATACCTTATTTTTATTGTGAATCACATCTAATTTTGTTTTTTATCCATACAACAAAAAAGTATATAAAACTTGTTGCTGTTGAGTCGGTTGCGACTCATAGCAACCCTATAGGACGGAGTAGAACTGCCTCATGGTGTTTCCAAGGTGCAGCTGGTGGATTCGAATTGCTGACCTTTAGGTTAGCAGCCTGAGCTCTTAACCACTGCACCACCAGGGCTCCAAAAAAAAAGAAAAAAAAAGCATGTAGCCACTACTATGTTCTAAGCAAAGAGCCCTGGTAGTGCAATGGTTAAGCACTGAGCTACTAACTGAAAGGCTGGCGGTTCTAACCCACAAGCAGCTCTGCAGGAAAAAAGACCTGGCGACCTGTTCCAGTAAAGATTATAGCCTAGGAAACTCTATGGGGCAGTTCTACTCTATCCTGTAGGGTCGACATGAGTCAGAATTGACCTGACAGCACACAACAACAACAACATATTAGAAGCATTAATACCATAAAAGACAAGTCCACACCGACACAAATAACCTGCATATAGAAAGTCAATAAACTCATTTATCAACCAAAACCACTGAATGAGGCCTGTTATAATTAACTAGCTTACATAAATATAAACCTTCCACTTAGGTCCTGTATAAGAAGTGAAAAAGGGAACAATCAAGATATTTATAAAATCATCTAAGTTATTAGTTAAGTAAACTTTGGCGTTTTAGTCTCCTTTTACATAAACAATTCTCAAAATTTGTGCAGATCCTGTTTCAGGAATTGCTTTCAATTATGTTCGAATCAATATATATTTTACTCTTTAAATGTCTGTTAGGACCTTTGTTTGGCATCTGCTACAGAAAGGTAATTATCTGATTTTATTAAAAATTTTGTATTTCATCTGTCATTTAAATCTTTAAACTCTAAGGCTTAAAAAGTGGAATGTTTCCATTTATGCTTATTCCACTTCAGAACAGATTTTAGTAATTTCACAGATGTTAGAATTGGAAGACACTGTAAAATTTTTTAAGAAGTTCAACTCCCTTGTTTTATCAGAGAGGAATTGAGAGATCAAGTGACTTTCCCAGCGTCACACATCTAGTTTACAGCAGAGCCGGTATTAGAACCTAGGTCGGATTCTCTTTTCCAGTATCTTCTGCCTCCCTTTTAGCAATAAATGTTTAATGGAAAGAACACAGGACTAGCTGTCAGGACATGTAATTCTAGACCTGCACTAACAAGTTAGCTGTGAAGCTCTGGAAAAGACCTCTCTGGGATCAGGTGCCTCAGCTGTAAAATTAAGAAACTGGACTCAATATCCTTTAGCGTCTCTTCAAGTCATAAAAGTCTATGATCATAAGGTTCTTGCCTACTGTAGCTCAATACCTATGTCTATTTTGCCTGATAACTTTCCCTATTTTATTTTTAATCTTGTTCTGCTGTGTAACTCCTAGATGTGGTATAACTACAAACTATCATTATTGTTTTTATCTAAACTAAAGGAAACCCAGAATATCAGGTACATCTGAAATTAATCTGAAAATTGCTGTAGGATGCAATCGTATGTAATTACATTGCAAATTGGCTTATACTTCCCACATGTTAAAATATTACAAATGCACTTTGTTACAAGAGCCATAATCTTTATGTCACACCTATGTATATCCAGATCGCTCTGCCTTCGCCACAGGTTGTTGGCACCAGCTCGCAGTACCCCTCTTCTCCTCAACTCCTGCCATCATTCTGGGCACCTCTAATGTCAGTGGAGATGACCATTCAAACACCCTTATGCATTACTTCTTAACCTCCCTGAAGCCAACCACCTTTAAAGTCACTTAACTCAGGGGACCCACAGCCACACATAGCCTTTTTCATATGCTTGGAAATGTCTGTCCCTCAGACATATAAAACTACAAAAATTCCTCACTCCTACAACATTTGGAGTCCCTGGATGGCACAAATGGTTAAGTGCTCCACTACTAGCCAAAAGGTTAGCAGCTCGAACCCACCCAGAGGCACCTCAGAAGAAAGGCCTGGCAATCTGCTTCTGAAAGGTCACAGCCTTGAAAACCCTATGGAGCACATGGGATGGTCATGAGTCCGAATCAATTCGATGGCAACTAACAACAACCGCTTACAACATTCCACCCATCTTTCTCCTCTCCCATTCTATCAGTTCTGCTTCACTGCAATCTCTAGTTCATCTAGCCCCTCACTATTTACCCACCCAAAGAAACACCCGGGGAGGCATCCACTCTCTTGCTTACCTGCCCCCACCAATGAACTCACCTGGACAGTCCCCATCCCTGGATGACTCCAATCACAGCTTTCTCCTCTCCCCTATCAGGCTACTCAGTGCAGCGGAGGAAAATTGTATCAAGACATGGGGCAAAGAAACTTTAAATCTCTCCCTCAATTTCTTTTGGCACATTTGTGGCCCTTTCAATAGCATGACAAGTCACCAGCACTTACCTATTTCTATGTGTGTTGAAACGCCACATGATGAACCTCCATGGCAGAGATACCCCAGCAAAACCAGCAGGCTGGACCAGAACCTAAAAGCAGACATGCTGTCATTATTCACAGCTCCACTGGGGATTTGGGAAATGCTGGGGGCTTCGGCAGCACGGGGACTCTGAAATCCCAGCAGAGAGCCACTGCTTTTTCTCTAAGCAGATCACTGACACAGGAAATGGAGACTCATTTCCCAATAATATTGTTTTCCAATGAAGTCAACTGTCCAACTACTGTTTAGCTTTACCAGAACAGCAAATAAACTCTGTCCGTCTTGGTGGGGGTGGTGGGGGGGAAACAATAAACTAAAATCTAAAACACATTGCCAGCAAAGACCCACTGCTTTCTCTCTGAGCAGAACACTGACACTGGTAACCGAGTCTCATTTTCAAATATTACTTTCCAATGAAGTCAACTGTCCAACTACTATGTAGCTACACTAGAATGCCAAACCAACCCTGTTCATTTTGGGGAAAGAAAAAAAAAAGGTGACAAACTGAAATCTAAAACACATTGCCATTTTCTGACTGAGGTTTCCTCTGAATTTCATTTTAACATGAAATTTGTATGGAGACACAAGCCAGGTTGTCTCCAGATATTTTTTGCTTTCTAAAGAGACTCATCTGTCTAGATTGATAGTCACTATGTTAAATCATCTCACCTTACGAGGGCTAATGGCTCATACATCCTTTCCACGCATTTATCAGGTTGCCCTGCTTACTTGGCCTCCGGAGCCACAAATGCTGGAAAAGGTTTGATGGTGATGAACTGAAACCAGCTCCTCTTTCAGTATTTGGCAACAGATACTGACACTAGTTTGGGATTACACAAGAGCAACCACACCTGGCCTGCCTACCTCTGGTTGTTCTTATAGGCCTTATCTGGAACCTGCTGTACGGGCAGATTCCTGCAGCCCAAGCAAAGACGCTGACTCCACCTGGGAGCAGATTTAGAGCCAAGAAATGAAGGTTTGGAAAATGTTAGGCTCAGAATATACCTGTTATAAACTATCCCATCAATAGCACTTAATCCATAGGAATAATTAGATTAATCTCTTCACGGAAATGATGGTGCTCTGAAAGGTCAAATTATGCATCTGATTAAAAGCATAATCTCTTTTCTTTATTAAAAGCAAGAAAAAAACCTGTTGCCTTCTAGTGGAATCTGACTCATAGCAACCCCGTGTTACCAAGTAGAACTGCTCCTCCATAGGGTTTTCTTGGCTGCAATCTTTGTGGAAGCAGATTGCCAGGCCTTTCTTCCATGGTATCGCTGGGTAGGCTTGAACCACCAACCTGTAGGTTAGTAGTTGAGCACAAATGTTTGTGCCACCTAGGTGGTAGAAAATGGTATTTGTTCTCAGGTTAGCCAAATGGAAGAGATGAATAAGAGAAGATGGGATGGTTTGAGACCATCAGTTGTCTGCCAAGAGTTTCCTCTGTAACCTTAACTCAGCCACCTGCAAAGACCCAGGTAAGGAATGCTGCAGCCTTCCCCCAACCCTGAGGCCATGAGTTGCTTCTGACTACTTAGAGGCCAGAGGTCATAATCAGACAAGATTGTTTGACTAACCAGGGTGTTTTATAAAATTAGGGCAACGTTTTTTAAATGGGAAAATTCACAAAGAAATCTAGATTATAGCTTCTCTTTAAAAAACACAAGAACTAGCCTCATGAACCAACATTCCCATGTGACATGGCAATGAGCTGGAGCTGAGGAGCCAGTTGTCCCCTAGACAGTGTGCCCTCCCTGACATCCCCCAGCCCCCAATATCCACACAGTGTGTGCAGGTGTCTATGCCCCTACGTCCATCATAAAACCAAACCAAACCAAACCCCTTGCCATTGAGTCGATTCCAACTCATAGCGGCCCTATAGGCCGGAGTAGAACTGCCCCAGAGGGTTCCGAAGAGCAGTTGGTGGATTTGAACTGCAGATCTTTTGGTTAACAGCAGTAGCTCTTAACCACTGTGCCACCAGGGCTTTAAATTTGCTTCTTTTTCACCCTGGGCTTCTAAAGTCTGTGGGTGAGGTGGTGGCAGTTGCATCTTGGGGCTTTGGTACGCTCACAACTTCCAAGAGTAGTCAATCAGTGGCAAGAGTAACAGAGTTGCAAAGGGTCAGCAAGGAAGAAAATGATGTTGCTTGCAAATACCTAACCATATTTAAATAAAACCAATCCATCCAAAAGCACCATGAAAGGAAACAAGCTCAGTAGCTAAGCAATACTAACCCTAAATTTTTCATTATATATTTTTGTGTTTAAGGTGCACAGTGACATAATTTCATTGGTTTAAGAATATCTGATATAAAAGATATAAGCATAATAAAACAGTCAGAAGAGAAGGGAGTTATTTGCGCAATGGTTACGAGTATGGGCTTTATGTGACAATATTACTAGAATTTTTATGAAGTTTACAGTACTTCTGTCACTATGAGATAGGAAAGATAGGAGTTTTTAAACAAACGTTAAAATATAGCTCACAATATTGTGCAGATTACAATGAAAACTATCCAACAAATCATAAATGTATAGAAATATTTTTCTTTCCACACCATACCCCCTTTCCTAATCCAGGTGGCTTTGTTACAAATGAGACAGTATGATTCTATCATTTAGAGCTCTTCTGGAAATACAGACAAAAGTTGAGACGTTAACATGCAGTTACATTAAGGAACAAGTGGGTAGGAATATGGGCTTTGGAGCCAGATAGCCTTCATTTGGATCCCAATTCTGCTACCTTGGGCAAGTTACTAAAAATCTCTATGCCTCAGTTTCCTTATCTATAAAAACAGAGATAATAATAGTATCCACCTTATGAGGTTGTTGTGAGGATCAAATACAAAATGCTTAGACTAGAACCTGGTATATAATAAGTTTCATCGCCTGCTGACTGTGATGCAGGCAGCCTCAGAGCCCAGCCCTTCTGAGAGACACCTGCTCTGGCTTATCCTCCTACATCGAGCAGACTAGGCTGCACATTCTTCTGAAATTGTCCTTGACAAGATAACCACAGAACAGCCATAGCAGGCCTCAGCTGGTTTTAACAGGTTTTCTACATCACCTTAACATTTCAAGTAACCTATCAGCTCATTAAGTGAAAAATACATATAAGCACCCCACCTCTGAGTGGAGACTTAACATGCTAATGAAGGAAAATCGACCCTTTCCTCCATCCCAGAGAATCGAACCCTTCTCTAGAGAAAATCCATAGTCATCCCCAAACTCTGAGTGCCTGCATGAAGGTCAATCCTCAGTATTCATGATTAATTTGCATTTCCTTGTCTGCTCTCTGTAAAAGCCCACCTCCCCAAGCTGCCTGCGAGCAGTCTTGGAAGCAGCAGCCTCGATTGCTCATTCCCTTGTGCAACAAAATAAAGTCGTCTTTCTGATCTCTCCTCTTGTTTATTGGCTGTAACAAGTCATGTCAAGCAGAACCTGGGGTTTCCACCTCACAACAACTATTATCATTCAAAAACATTTTTCCCTTTTCCCAAAGATTCACCACAGGTCTCTATTAAGTATCATCCTTACTGAACTCAACAATAATTAAGAAAATTTCCTTTACACTCAGGTATTCAACAATACATCTTTCATAACAATTTAGATATGCGTATATAGAAGTCCTGGTGGCACAGTGGTTAAGAGCTCAGGCTGCTAACCAAAAGGTCAGCAGTTCAAATCCACCAGCTGCTCCTTAGAAACCCTGTGGGGCAGTTCTACTCTGTTCTATAGGGTCACTATAAATTGGAATCAACTCGACGGCAATGGGTTTGGTTTTCTGGGGTTTTTTTGGATAAAGCAAAATTGGGTGAGGCTTTTTAAGTGAAGGTAGGTCTCCTTGCACAGATAAATGAGATACAATTTTCACGTCTAGAAACTTCTGAGATAAAGCAAATAATTTCAGGTCATTTCTTCCAAGTCTAAAATGCTGCTGTCATCATGGTGTCATTATAGCAAATAGAAGAGAGGATGGGAAAGGAGGAAATTGGAAGGTGGAGGCGCCCAGGATAAGGGCAAGTGGAAACCCTGGTGGCTAGTGGTTAAGAGCTACAGCTGCTAATCAAAAGGTCGGAAGTTCAAATCCACCAGCCGCTCCTTGGAAATCCTACGGGGCAGTTCTGCTCTGTCTTACTGGGTTGCTATGAGTCGGAATCAACTTGACAGCAACGGGTTTTGTTTTGTTTTTTTTTGTAAGGAGAAAGGAGGGAAGAGGTCCTTATTGCCTGGGGTCTTGTCCTTGTAGGCATCAGTGAGCTATGAGCGGCATCAGGATAGCTTAGAAGTAAGACAGGAGTCAGGAGGGAATTGTTCCCACTTTGAGAGCCACAGTTGACTTCACCTTTCTAGGCCTCAGTTTCCTCAACTGAACTGAAAGAGTTTCCCAAACTGATGGAAATCAGCTCTTGGTAGTGCTCCCTCTGCAGGCAGCAGATGTAAACGTGCCAGCTCCCCAGGTCCAAGTGAGATAATAAACTGGCAGCCTCACTTTGAGGATATACACTCCCTCTCTCTCCCCAATTTCTTCAACAAAGCATAGAATGAAATGGTGAATCCACAAACACAAGATTAAACTCTGCTGTTATCACTTCTGCCAGATATGTCTGACTCAAGAATGAATGGCTCTGACTCAGCAAAACAAAGTCAATATTTAAATTACTGACTTGGCATTTTCCAATTTTTAAGAATCCAATGCCCTAGAAAAAGGTGAATACTCCACAGGCTCCAAAAAAGCTAGTAAGAGGCTCTCAACGCCATAGGAATCAAAATGGGGAAGTACATTGAGACTAAAAAAACTAGTTGTCCTTGAGTGGATTCCGACTCATCGCAACCCCATGGGTATCAGAGCACAATTGTGCTCCACGGGGTTTTCAGTAGCTGATTTTTCAGAAGTAGATCATCAGGCCTTTCTTCTGAGGTACCTCTGGGTGGACTTGAACCTCCAATCTTTTGGTCAGCAGCCGAGCAAAAGAGGTCTTTTGCAGTACATTTGCTCAGTGCTATACGTTGTTTGATTTCTTGACTGCTGCTTCCATGGGTGTTGATTGTGGATCCAAGGAAAATGAAATCTTTAACAACTTCAGTCTGTTCTCCATTTATCATGATGTTGCTTATTGGTCCAGTTGTGAGGATTTTTGTTTTCTTTATGTTGAAGTGTAATCCATACTGAAGGCTATAGTCGTTGATCTTCATCAGTAACTGCTTCAAGTCCTTTTCACTTTCAGCACGCAAGGTCCTGTCATATGCATATTGCTGGTTGTTAATGAGTTTTCCTCCAATCCTGATGCTGTGTTCTTCATAATCCAGTTTCTCGGATTATTTGCTCAGCATACAGACCGAATAAAGTGACATTAGGATATCCAATCCTATACCTTGACTAATTCACTTTGACAAATGGGGTCATTTACTAGTTGGCAGCCTAACTTTTAACCGTATTGGTGGCTTGACCCAGGGCAACTAAGATGACTTTGAACATTATACTGAATCTAATATACGAACTGCATTAGGCATTACTTACGCTACCTCGTTATTTCAGAACAAACCTATGAGTAGGCATTGTATTTTACAAATGAGAGGGCTGAGGTTATGTAATGTGCCCAAGGTCACACAGCTTGTCGGCAACAGATTGTGACTGTGGATCCAAGTCTGCTCGTCTCTAAAACCCGCTGTTACGTTATCTGGAGCACCCCTGCTCCCAATTATTGGAAGGAATACCTAGACGCACACCCAGAAAAACTTCCTGGTAGCAAAACGCGGAGAACCTCCACCCCAAATCCTGCAGCTGCAGGGATGGAGAAAGGTGATCATGCCCTTGGCAGTCGCGCCAAGAGCAAGCCCATCTATGGACCGAACAGATTCCTTTGGCGGGGGAGATGTCGGATTTGGGGGCGAGGTTTCCCACTCGCAAATAATCTTCTTTCCCTGAGGTTGGGGGCTAATGAATAGTTACAGACAAATGAGCACGGGTGAGGGGAATAGGTGACAACGGTTCGCAGGTGCATCTTCCGGCGAGCATTCCTCAGCCCCTCTCCCAGCACTTCGCGGTAAAAGGTCGCCCCACTATGCTCAGGGCAAGGTCTAGTCTGGCCCTGCAGTGCAGCAAGAAGGACGCGGGAGAGGGCGTTGCTCCCGAGTCTCGGCAACCTTCAGAGGGTGTGCTCGCCTGCCCTCTACGGTCCCTGCCACCGCCTCGCTCCTCCAGCGGCCCCGCGGCCCCTGCGCTCGCGTGCGCGCGCGCGCGCTTGCCTGTTTCCTGCTGCCACGGCCTGGGCTCCGGCCATGGCGACCTGCTTTCAGCTGCGGGGCTGCGGGGCCCAGCGCCTCTCGCTGTTGCCTCTCGGCCGCGGTCCCTGTCCCTGCGCCGGCTATCTGGGACTCTCTACGCAGCCCAAGCCGGGCTTGGCCCTGCTCCGCGGCTATGCCCAGGGCCCGGCGGGCCTCCCCCCAGCGCTGCTGCGCACCGATGGCTTCGTGGGCGGACGCTGGCTCCCAGCCCGCGCTGTCTTCCCGGTGTACGACCCAGCCAGCGGCGCCGAGCTGGGCAAAGTGGCCGACTGCGGAGCGCCCGAGGCCCGCGCCGCCGTGCGCGCCGCCTACGAGGCTTTCTGCAGCTGGAGGGAGGTCTCGGCCAAGGTGAGAGCGCGCGGGGTGCAGGGGGCAGGGCTGGCCGGGGAGCAGAGGGGGCTTTGCCCCCGAAGTAAAACCAGCCGCTTCACTTCTCTTTCTCCCCAATTCCCCGGGGGTACACAATGCGGGAAGTCGCGGAAACAAGAAAGGAGTCAACCAACAAATACGTTTAGAGCCTCGGCTTTGTGCCACGCGCTAGGGACACGGCCCCTCCCCTCAAGCTTCATGAAGCTTACTGTCCAGTCGGGGAGACAACACGAGCACGTAATTACAAGTGAGCTGAGTGTTACAGTGAACAAGTAGATGAGGCCTGACCATGTTATGTGAGGGGAGGCGGTCAGGGAACGTGAGAGGGCACCTGTGGTTCTCAAATACCTCCCCTGTTGCAAGGAGGCCACGCAGGAAGCTGCTGTGGTGGTCCAGGAAACAGCTGGTAATGCCCTGGGCTGAAGTAGTGGAATTAGGAATAGAGAACTGTAGAAACAATCGGGCTTTGTGTTTGGCTATGGAGGGAAGGGAAGAGTCCAGGATGATACGTGTCCAAGATGATACTCCTGGTTTTCCACATGAATGGATAACCAGAAAAGGAGCCCTGGTGGCACAGGGGTTAATCACTGGGCTGCTAACCTAAAGGTCAGAGGTTCGAGCCTACCAGCTGCCCCATGGGAAAAAGATGTGGCAGTCTGCTTCCAAAAAGCTTACATACAGCCTTGAAACCCTGTCAGGCAGTTCTGCTCTGTCCTATAGAAGTCGCTATGAGTCAGAATGGACTCCCTGGCAATGGGTTTGGTTTGGGTTTTGGGTAATCAAATGGACTCTACCAGATGCTGTAGAGTCCATTGGTACTCATGGCTACCCCATGTGTGCAGAGTAGAACTGCTCTCTGTAGGATTTTCAAGGCTGTGACCTGTTGGAAGCAGATCACCAGGTCCAGGCCTTTCTTCCAAGGCGCCTCTGGGTATGTCTGAACCTTTGGGTTATTACTTAACCATCTGTGCCACCCATAGGTGCTGGTATTTGTTGGCTTAGAGAACACTGGAGAATTGAAGTGAAGGGGTGAGATGGGAAGTGAGTAAGAAGAAAACAAGAGGTTTTCTTCTCCTTTTATTACAGCACACAGAGTATAAGTCTATCCAAAAAACTAAACCCACTGGCGTTGAGTTGATTCCAACTCATAACCCCTAATGTTCATCTCATCCTTGAAATAGAGAGAGTTAAAGCCAGCTCAGTGAAATCATTTTCTCCATCTTTCAGAGTCCTCCCTCTGAAGATATATGTATAGCAATTAGTTCGAGTACCAGAGAGCCCAATATCAGATTATTTACTGAGGGCCTGCTATATGCTATGCAGTGTTGGAGGTGCTGGGATAGATATATTAGTTAACAAAACCAAAACAAAAATTCCTGCCCTTGTGGAGCTCACATGAGGGGGTAGTTGGAGGTTGTCTTAGTCATCTAGTGCTGCTATAACAGAAATAGCACAAGTGGATGGCTTTAACAAACAGAAATTTATTCTCTCACAATCTAGGAGGCTGGAAGTCTGAATTCAGGGCACCAGCTCCTGGGGAAGCCTTTCTCTGTCTGTTGGCTCTGGGGAAAGGTCCTTTTCATCAATCTTCCCCTGGTCGAGGAGCTTCTCAGTGCAGGGACCCTGGGTCCAAAGGACATACTCTGCTCCTGGCACTTCTTTCTTGGTGGTATGAGGTCCCTCTCCTCTCTGCTTGATTCTTTCTTGTATATCTCAAAAGAAATTGACTCAAAATACAACCTAATCCTGTAGATTGAGTCCTGCCTCATAAACATAACTGTCTCTAATGCTGCCTCATTAATATCATAGAGGTTAGGATTTATAACACATAGGATAATCGCATCAGATCACAAAATGGTGGACAACCACACAATACTGGGAATCATGGCCTAGCCAAATTGACACACATTTTAGGGGGACACAGTTCAGTTCATAACAGAGGTTAAGCAATAAACATACAAGTAAATAAGTGTGTTAGAAGTGATCAATGCTATGACAGAAAAAAGTAGAGCAGGGTAAAGGGCACTGTGGGCCAGAGGGAAGGCCAACATGCAGTATAGCGAAGGTCTTGAGTAGTCAGTTTTCCAAAAAGGATATTCAAATGGGCAGTAAGCACATGAAGAGATGCTCAACATGACTAGTCTTTAGGGAAATGCAAATGTTATAGATTGAATTATATCCCCCAAAAATATGTGTTGTAAATCCCAACCTCTATACCTGTGGTTATAATCCCATTTGGGAATGGGTTGTCTTTGTTAAACGTTAATGAGACAGGATTAGTGTAGGGTATATTTTTGGTCAATCCCTTTTGAGATATAAAAGCAGTTAAACAAGGGAGCAGAGCAGAGATGGGCAAGAGAGATAACAATACACATGAAGATTGCCTAGGAGCAGAAGCTCAAAAAAGACAAGGACCTTCCTCCAGAGCCCACAGAGAGATAAAGCCGCCTCCTAGAGCTGGCACCCTAAGTTTGGGCTTCTGGCATCCTAAACTGTGAGAAAATAAATTTCTGTTAGTTAAAGCCATCCGCTTGTGCTGTTTCTATTATAGCAACAGTAGATAACTAAGACAGCAAATCAAAACCACAATGAGATAGCACTTCACACCCACTAGGATGACTATAACAAAACAAAGGAAAACAACAGGTGTTGTACAGATGGGGAGAAATTGGATCCCTCATCCATTGCTGGTGGGAATGCAAATTGGTGCAGCCACTGTAGAAAACAGTTTGGCGATTCCTCAAAAAATGAAACAGAATTACTGTATGACCTAGCAATTCTACTCCTAGGTATATTCCCAAAAGAATTGAACACAGGGACTCAAACAAATACTTGTACACAAATGTTCATAGCACTATTCACAATTGCTTAAAAGTAGAAACAACCCAAATATAAATCAGTGGATGAATGGATAAACAAATTATGGTATATAGATACAATGGGACATTATTCAGTCATAAAAAGGAAAGAAGTGCTACGATGTGGATGAACCTGGAAAACAGGCTAAGTGAAAGAAGCCAGACACAAAAGGCCACATATTGTATGATTCCATTTGTCTGAGATTTCCAGAATAGGTAAATTCATAGACACAGTGAATTGGGAACAGAGGTTAACTGCTTAACGGACATGGGGCTTCTTTTTGGCCCCATTTGATGAAAATGTTTTAGGACTAGATAGAGATGGTGGTTGTACAATATTGTGAATGTACTAAATGTCACTAAATTGTTCACTTCAAAAGGTTAATTTTATGTGAATTTCACAGTATACATTAAAAAAAAGATATAAATAATGTCATGGTAGGCCTCATTGAAGACATGAGATGCAAAGACCAAAGGACATGAGGGAATTCAGCTAGAGCAAAAGGCCTGAGTTAGGAGCATGCCTGCTGTGTTTTTTTTAAATTGTGCTTTAAATGAAAGTTTAGAGTTCAAGTGTGTTTCTCATACAAAACTTTGTACACACAGTGCTATGTGATCCTAGTTGCTCTCTCCATTCCGTGACAGCACACTCCTCCTTTCCACCCTGAATTTCCTGTGTCCATTCAACCAGCTCGTGTCCCTTTCTGCCTTCTCGTCTCGCCTCCAGACAGGAGCTGCCTATTTAGACTCATGTATCTACTTGAGCTAAGAAGCACACTCTTCACAAGTATCATTGTATGTCTTATAGTCCAGTCTAATCTTTGTCTGAAGGGTTGGCTCTGGGAATGGTTTTAGTTTTGTGCTAACAGAAAGTCTGGGGGCCATGTCTTCTGGGGTCCCTCTAGTCTCAATCAAACCATTAAGTCTGGTCTTTTTATTAGAATTTCAGTTCTGCATCGCACTTTTCTCCTGCTCCATCGGGGACTGTGTTGTGTTCCCTGTCAGGGCAGCCATTGGTGGTAGCTGGGCACCATCTAGTTCTTCTCGTGGTTAGGCTGGTGAAGTTTCTGGTTTATGTGGCCCTTCCTGTCTCTTGGGCTAATACTTTCCTTGTGTCTTTGGTGTTCTTCATTGTCTTTTGCTCCAGGTGGGTTGGGACCAACTGATGCATCTTAGATGGCCTATCAGTAGCTTTTAATACCCCAGATGCCACTCACCAAAGTGGGATGCAGAATGTTTTCTTAATAAACTTTGTTATGCCAGTTGACCTAGATGTCCCCTGAAAGCATGGTCCCCAGACCCCCACCGTTGCTACTCTGTCCCTCGAAGTATTTGGTTGTTTTCAGGAACCTTCTTAGCTTTGATTTAGTCCAGTTGTGCTGACTTCCCTGTAGTGTGTGTTGTCCTTCACTTCACCAAAGATAATTCTTCAGCAACACCCTTGAGAGGCAAGAAAACACAGCTTGTTAGCCTGTCCAAAATAGGGAAGGGAAACAAGCTGAGGAAGGACTGCTAGTGGTGTTTACACATCCTCAGGCTCTTTGTTCACCAGTGGAATAAGAAAATAATTAAAATCGCTAGTCCTGCTGAATGGGTTAGAGTGTCAGAAGGATAAGCCAGGTTTGCACGTTGAGGCTGGCAGTCATTAAAATACAGAACTGTGTCTTTGTGGTGAGATTAAGGTTATTCATATTACCATAAAAATAGCTTCTATGATTTATGGCCTGGTACATGCCTATAGGAGTCCCTGGGTGCTGCATAGAGATAACCTGTTCGGCTGCTAGCCAAAAGGTTGATGGTTTGAGTCCACCCAGAGGTGCCTCGGAAGAAAGGCCCGGTGACCTCTTTCAAAAACTCAGCCAGTGAAAACCCTACGGAGCGCCGTTCTACTCTGACACACATGGGGTCGCTATAAGTCGGAGCCAACTTGACAGCAACTAACATGCCTATAGATGCAACTTGAAATTGGATCTTTGTTTTTATTGATCAAAGAAGTACCAATGCATTTCCCCCGAGAATGAGTCCATGCAACTAATATTTTAGGAAATTGAAGGTTATTTAATAGTGTGTTACACTTGGCATTTCATTTTTTTTTTTTTTTACCTTTTCATTTCTTTTTCAGGAGAGGAGTTCATTACTTCGGAAATGGTATGATTTAATGATAAAAAATAAGGAAGACCTTGCCAAGATAATCACAGCTGAAAATGTAAGTGCAGGGGCCTGGTTTGCTACCCTAAGAAACTGGTCAGGGATTCTTAGCCTGAAGTTTGAGAAATCCTTTAACATCCTGCAAGATGTGGAATCACCTTGCCAAAAGCAGTTAGGCCTTGAGGTTCTTGGTTCTCTCTAGCCATACTAACACCTGAGGCCAATGAGTGGGGGCTGACCAGATCATGAGGGACCACCTGGAGGCCTGATGCTAACTAAGCCTCAGGAGGCATGATGTAATGTATCATGGCCATGTGGTGAGGCTGATAAGAGCCCTGATCCCTGAGGCTCAGATGGAGCTTCTTCCTGTTGTTACCATGCACGGGAGGGGGTAGTGTGTCCCTCTTTGACACATGGAAGCTCCATGCTGTGACCCCTTCCAGATCTCACCCTCTTTGTCTCTTTGTTTGTATCCTTTTTGGTTTAAGTAAATCTGTAGTCATAAGTTTAGTATACTCACCGTGAGATTCTCTGAGTTGTTCCAGCAAATTAATGAACCCACAGGGGCAGTGAGCAGGGGCTAGCATCTGCCTTTTTTTTTTTTTAATTATGCTTTATGTGAAAGTTTACAGCTCGAGTTAATTTCTCATACAAAAATTTATACACGTATTATTATGTGACATTGGTTGCAATCCCTATAATGTGACAGCACACTCCCGCTTTCCACACCAGGTTTCCCATGTCCATCCAGCCAGCTCCTGTCTTGCCTTCTCATCCTCCCTCTGGACAGGAGTCGCCCATTTGTTCTTGTGTATCTGCCTGAACTAAGAAGCACACTCTTTACAAGTATTATTTTATGTTTTATAGTCCAGTCTAAACTTTATCTGAAGAGTAGGCTTCAGGAATGGTTTTAGTTCTGGGTTAACAGAGCGTCCGAGGGCCATGGCTTCAGGGGTTCCTGTAGTCTCAGTCAGACCGTTGTCTGGTCTTTTTATGTGAATTTGAGTTCTGCTCCACATTTTTCTCCTGCTCCGTCAGGGACTCTGTTGTGTTCCCTATCAGGATAGTCATTGCCCTGATGGTCATTGCCTGGTGGTAGCCAGACACGATCTAGTTCTTGTGGTCTCAGGCTGATGGAGTCTTTGGTTTATGTGGCCCTTTTGTCTCTTGGGCTAATATTTTCCTTGTGTCTTTGGTGTTCTTCATTCTCCGTTGCTCCAAGTGGATTGAGACCAATTGATGCATCTTAGATGGCCTCTCGCAAGCTCTTAAGACCCCAGTGGCGTTTGCCTATTTGGCAGTCTGGAAGAAGATGTCCTTTTCACATGTAAGCTCTGACCTAGCTCTGGGTGGCGAGGGCTGAAAGACCCTGTCTGTCTAACTTGAGGGCTCTGACCCAGCTCTGTGTGGGTAGGGCTGGGAGAGGGTGTGCCATGTGAACAGCTGGCGACAAGGACAGAGAAGTGGGAAGGTGAGGACTGGATCTATTTCCATGCTTTGGGAATTGTATTCGTGCTGATCTTTACCACACAGTTAGTGGTGAAGGTGGGGGTTGCCCACTGCCCCTTGCTTAGTGCACCTCCCTTCAGTGTTGTTCTGTAGCTAAAGAAAACGTGAATTCCTTGTCTAATAATCAGATATCAGATAATTAGCATGCCAGTCACAAATTTTTTCTAATTAACTAAATCTAGCACTCAGACTTGCTGAAAGAAAATCTGTGTGTTCTAGTTTATTCAATAATATGCAGAAAATAGATTTTGGGAGGAAGTGTATGGATCTTGCTCTTTCACCTTTTCCTACGTGACTATTGTTGTTAATTTTTCATGGCGTTTTTGTACATTTAAACTGTGCCATTCATTCTTCCATAGCTATAATAAAGTACATTACACCATGGTCACAACATTTAGAAGATACCGCAAGGAGAAGGAATTATAAGAGCAGTTCTAGGTGTCTGCTCCTAATTTGTAAACATACTGAGAATGCAGATACCTTTATTGAGGTTTAGGGTGGTACATCCATGCTTATATCCGTTATCATTTGTACTTCTGCTTTCTAAGACTCACATCAAAGTTAGAAATCTCTTAACGACCCTATGAATTTTGTAATGCTGTCATCTGGAGATGGGAGACTTTTCTATGTTACTTGCTGTTTTGAAGAATTTAGAGGCACAAGTCATGCTTTTGTATCAAAAACGAAACCAGTTGCCATCAAATCGACTCGACTCATGGTGACCCCATGCGTGTCAGAGTAGAACTATGCCCCATAGAGCTTTCAGTGGTTGCTTTCTCGGAAGTAGACCTCCAGGCCTTTCTTCCAAGGTGCCTCTGAGTAGACTCAAACCTCCAACCTTTTACTTTGCAGCCAGTTGCGTTAACCATTTGCACCACCCCAGGATTCCATTTTTGGTATTAGAAGATAACATATGTGTCATTTTCTGATTTAATTTAGGGAAAGCCGCTGAAGGAGGCCCAGGGAGAAATTCTCTATTCTGCCCTTTTCCTAGAATGGTTTTCAGAGGAAGCCCGCCGCATATATGGAGACATCATCTATACCCCAGCGAAAGATAAGAGGAGCCTGGTCCTCAAGCAGCCTGTGGGTGTGGCCACAGTCATCACCCCGGTATGTGGCAGCATCAGCAAGATCCTGGGGTGGGAGATGGGATTGGGACACAGGAAGCAATTCATTCTTCCTTTTGAAGATGTGTACTCATTGTGTTATCTCTGTCATCTGTTTTTGGTTTCCTGATTCCTTTGCTGGACACTGAGGTATGTTTCATGGACCTTTGTGATAATTAATGTTAGGTGTGGTGGCAGCAAATGGGAGTACATGCTTTCCAATGCCTGTGGATGTGGGGTAATCCCAGAGGGCTTTTCTGACGTGGCATAAAGGCTTTTTCCTGGTGTTGCCTAGCACTTCTGGAAAGATCTTCTGGTATTTATCATTTTTTTAAAAGACTTAGATATGAGTTTTTAAAAAAATTTCATAGCTGACTTTTTTAAAATCGTTTTATTGTAGTAAAAATATATATAACAAAACCTTTGCCAGTTCAACATTTTTTACACATACAATTCAGTGACATTGATTAAATTAATCGTGTTGTGCAATCATCACCACTGTTCATTTCCGCATTATCTCATTATCGTCAATAGAAACTCAGTGTCCGCCAAGCAGTGACTCCCCGTCTCCCCCTCCATTCTACCCCTGAACACCACCAATAAACTTTGGTTTCTATACATTTGCTTATTCCAGATATTTCATCTAAGTGGGATCATACAATATTTGTCCTTTTGTGACAGACTTATTTCACTCAGAGTAATATTTTCAAGGTTCATCCATGACACATTTTTTAATGTGCCATAGTTTGTAAGATTGTTTAATGTGTGATTGTCATCTCCAGCTAAGCATTTGTGTCCCTACCCAGCAGGCATTGGGCCAGGTTCTGTAGGTGGAATGAGCTAAGAAATAAGATATTGTGTCTGCCTGGAAGGGGCTGCAGTATACTTGTTGAGGGCCCAACTTTCACATTGATCAGCCCTTCTTGGACCTACCTACTACTTGGTCTCATATTAACTTCTCTACAGTATCTGCCAGCTGGTCTCAAAGCCACTTTTCTTTCCCTGCTGAGTAGTTACAGATGCCATCTTTCTTACTGCCAAGACTGACTAGGTTGGACTCAGAACTACTGTTTACTAGTTGTGTGACTTTGGGCAAGTTACTTAACTGGACTCAGTTTTCCCAAACCTGCAAGTGAAGATGGTAATACTGGCCTCGTTGGGTTGTGATGAGGATTTAATTAGTTATATTTTTCAAGTGCTTAGAACAGTGCCTGGCACAGAATAAGTGCTGTATGTTTGTTATAATAAAATAAAATATGTTCCTGTGGGTACGTGTATACATATATATATATAAAATGTCTGTGTGTATGTAAAGAGGGAAATAGTAAATCATCTGCTGTTTTTAAAATCACCTTTGCTATTTTATTCTCCATGTATGTAGCTCAAGAGTCATCAAACTGTGGCCCACAGGCCAAATCCAGTCTGCTGCCTGTTTTTGTAAATAAAATTTTATCGGAACACAGCCATGCTTATTCGTGTACATATTATCTGTGGCTGCTTTCATGCTACAACCACAGAGTTTGAGTAGTTCTGACAGACTCTTTGTCCCCCAAAGCCTTAAATATCTACTGTCTGACTCTTTCCAGAAAAAGTTCTCTGACCCTGGATATAGATAATTTTGTATTGTATTAAGTTCTGAAAACATTTCCTGTCTTTATGAGCCTTTGTCTCCCACACCTCTCAAGTTGGCAGCTGACAGGTGTCCTGAGTGCTCACCTGTGCAAGAGCCAGAGAAAGCTTTCCCAATCAGTTGAGCAGTGAAATGTATTGACTGACTTCTTTTGGGCTGATGGGGCAGTCTTTCATCTCGCATATTTCCTCTGCTCTATAACCGCAGTGGAATTTTCCCAGCGCCATGATTACCCGGAAGGTGGGGGCTGCCCTGGCAGCTGGCTGTACTGTAGTGGTGAAACCTGCCGAAGACACTCCCCTCTCCGCCCTGGCCCTGGCCGAGGTGAGTCTTTCTCCCTATGTTTGTGCAGAGCTGACAAGAGCTAAAAATAGATATTTATCTGGGACAGCAAGAAGCCATTTTGCTGCCTCCTTCTTTATCTGCATCTCATACTGCATAGTCTTTTGTTTTAATGGACTGGGCATTTTTTTAGTCAGATGTTGCTCTTTTTAGAAAAAATTGGATTGGTGATTATCTTACTGCTGCAGGCAGTGTATGTTTTAGGCTACCCTAAAAATGATATCTATCCATCATTGTCATTATATAGCCAGTCCTAGTAGTATGACTACAGTGTGGGAGTCTGTCACATGTGGGAAGCCTCTATTTACTACTCCCTTCCCAATTCAATCGGTGTTCATCCAGAGCTTGTCATTCTTCTACGTAAAACCACCTAATGGCTTTTCATTTCTTTTGTCACTTAAAGTAAAATTTGAACTCCTAAGGAGCCCTGGTGCCACAGTGGTTAAAGCGATCGACTGCTAACCGAAGGGTCGGCAGTTCAAAACCACCAGCTGCTGTGCAGGAGAGAGATGTGGCAGTCTCCTTCCAGAGAGATTTACAGCCTTGGAAACCCTACAGGGTCTCTATGAGTCGGAATTGACTTGACAGCAATGGGTTTGGTTGTTTTTTTTTGTTTTTTTTTCAGTGTCCTTCAAGGCTCAATAAGATGAGCCACTGCCCTCACTGCCCCTCTGACCTTGTCTGTTACTGTCCTGTCCCCCTACTTATCCACGCCAGCCACTCCACCCTCTTCTGCTCCTCGGACCAGGACAGGCTCGCTCCCTACTCAGGCCTTTCCACATGCTCTTCCCTCTGTCTGAAAGCTCTCCCCTCAGATACCCTTGTGACTTGCTTCTTCATGCCTTCACTCAAATGCCACCTTCTTAGGAAGGTCTTCCCTGGCCTCCATGTTTAAAATTACCACCTCACACTCTTGCACTCCTGATCCTCCCTCTCTGCTTTGTTGTTGTGGTTGTTTTCCATAGCACTTAACACCACCTAACATACCAGACATTTTATCTGTTTTGATAATTATCTTCCCCCACTAGAATGTAAGCTCTGTGGAGACAGGGACTTTTATCTGTTCTGTTCACTGCTACATTCCAGAGCCTATAGAACAGTGCCTGGATATAGGAGACACTCAGTGAATATTTGTGGAAGGAAGGAAGGAGGAAGGGAAGGAGGGAGAGAAGGAAGGAAGAAGGGAGAGAAGGAAGGAAGAAAGGAAAGAAGGACTTCACAATTAAAACCTAGAACCACTCATTAGGTTGGGTGTCAGTATTTTACCACATTACCTCAGGCTTTCCTGTGTCAGAACCCCCTTCTACTTTTAATTCCATGGGCTGCTGCTTTTCCTCTTGTCTGTAGTCAGGTAAAGGAGCTTCCAAAAGCCCAGACATAGCCATCATCATGGCAACTGTGGGAGTTACTGTACTTGCTGTTTTCAGCAATCAGGGACCTGGTGCAGCTCCAGACAGAGTGACTAGAAGCATCTTTCCTTAAGGGGCATGTCACCAAAGGACACCTTATATCAGATGCAACTTGTTCATTTGAGTCATTCAGTAACAAACTGAATGGAAGGGTTTTTTTAGATGGGCTATTACTATATTATCTCTGTACTTTACCTTTTTCCTGTGTGATGTGTGAGTTAATCTTTTTATTAGATTCCTTAGGTATAACTAAGTGTGTATTTCCTACAAATTACAGTGTTTAGAACCAGCAGTCATCTATGACTGTTGGACTCTACCTGATTATGAAGTTTATTTGAAAGTACACATCTATATTGACTGGAAAGTTTAAGAACCACATTTTTTTAAAACCTCAATGAACTGAGAGAAGAGATTATTTCAAAGGAAAAATGCCGCTTCTTAGACCTACAGAAAATAAGAGGTCGTTGCTGAAGATGTAGAAACCTCGAAATTTGTAGGAAACAGGATTTCTCCATCACCTGGTCAAGGCAGTGAGCCCTGCTTTGCCTTGTTCCTTCATCTTCAAAATAATCATGAGGTACTTGCATCTAATCAGTTTTTTTTTTTGTCTATTGCAAAATGAAACACAGATACAGAAAAATCACATAAAACAAATTTATAGTTTAGTGAATGGTGAACACTCTTGTAACCACCACCTGGTTAAGAAATAGAACTTTGTCAGAGGAACCCCGTGTGCCCTGTTTGGATCCCACTGCCTCCCTCCCTCAAAAAGTAGCCTCTGTCCTGATTTTTATATTAATCACTTCTTTTTATAGTTTCACCACCCACGTGTGCATCTTGTTCATTTTTTAATTTGGAGTGTGTTTGAAGTCTTTTTTGTGGTAAAATAACAACAAAACATTTGCCATTTCAACCATTTTTAAGTGTACAATTCAGTGACGTTAAATTACATCCACCACATTGTGCGATCATCACCATTTCCAAATCTTTTCATTACTCTTTCTGAAATTAGCCATTTGTGCAAAAATCCCTGGTTTCTCTTAATAGGAAATATTTTAAGATTATACTCAGGGTGTTAGGGTTGCTCGTTGCTACTGGTTGATCATTGTTTCTAGGTCTCTTCAGTGGACAGGGCTAGGAAATAGACATATGTATACACACACACACACAAAATACTGCATAAATTCGTACATAAACTCCTGACTCAAATTTATTACTACGGGGTTTTTACTTACCTCCTCCTGTATTATATCTGCATCTCCTCCTTTCCTCATTCTCAAGGACATGGGAGGGTTGAATTACAGTATTCCGTAATTATTCATTTGCTTTGTCCCACATTACACACACAACAGTTTCTGAACACAGGTACTGATATCACCACCAATATGCCTACCTACAGAAACCAGTTAAATTTTTTTTTTATTTTTGTCTTTTCTATTCCCATTCTTCTCATATTTTTAAATGCATTTTTAATTTTAGAACAATTTTAGAATCACAGAAAAATTGCAAAGATGGTACAGGGATTTCCCACATATCCAATACTCTGTTTGCCCTACTGTTAGCATCTTACATTAGAGCCCTGGTGGTGCAGTGGTTAAAGCACTCGGCTGCCAACCCGAAGGTCAGTGATTCAAACCCACCAGCCACTCCGTGGGAGAAAGATGTGGCGGTCAGCTTCCGGAAAGATTACAGCCTTGGAAACCTTAAGGGCAGTTCTGCTCTGTCCTGTAGGGTTGCCATGAGTTGGAATCGAATTGATGACATTGGGTTTGATTTGATTTTACATTAGTATGGTACATTTATTATAATGTATGAACCAATATCGATACATTATTATTAGCTAAAATCTGTGCTTTATTCAGATTTCCGTAGTTTTTGCCTGATGTCCTTTTTCTCTTCCAGGATGCCACCCAAGATACTACATTACATGTAATTGTCATGCCTCCTTAGGCTCCTCTGGGCTGTGACAGTTTCCCCATATTTTAAAATAGTTACACCATCTGTATCTACATTTTCAGAGCTATAGCCATTACATAGTGTACTCTCTCCCGTTTAACCCTCATTTAGACTTAGTTTGACAAACTGTATACTTTATATTGCTGTATGTTTATTGCTTACCACCTACACTTATGTCGACGTCTCTGTAGGAATTTTGATGGTCTGAAGCTTGTTTTCTAATAGATTCCTGAGGAAGGGCTTATGGGAACCATATTCCCTGTTCTTGAATATTGGTAACAGTTTGTGCTCATTATGCTTATAAATCAGTTTTGCTGCATATAAAATCCGTGGCCCACATTTTCTTCCCTTGATTATCTTAAATGTGGTCTCCATTTTCGTCTGGTATGAAGTATTGCTCTTAAAAAGTCTGATGATAATCTAGGTTTCTTGCCTGTATAAGTCACTTTCTTTTTTGCATAAATGCCCCAAAGTGCTTTTTCTCTATTCTTAAGATCAGTAATTTCACTAGAATATATCTTTGTGATGGTTGTTTTGGTCAATATTCTAGGTATGCAATGCGCTCTCGTGCCTATGTCATTTCAGATCTTTTTTTTTTTTTTCAGGGAAGTTTTCTTGAATTACAGTTTTTAGGATTTTTTTTTTTTACCTTCGGTTTGGTTTACAGATTCAGGGACTCCTTTTCGTGTGTTGAATCTTTTTTTGTCACTTTCTGTTGTATCCTTTTCACCTTTTCTATGTTTAATTTTTAAAATTAGTCTCTTTTTCAGCTTCTATTTTTCCTAGAGTGTTATCTATTGTGTTTATTCGTTCTTGTGTTCCTTTTAGTTTGGTCTTCATTTCTGAAATGATATTTTTCTTTTATTTCTAATTCTTTCCTTTATTCTCTTACATCATTTCTAATTTTTTCTAATTCTGATCATGTTGTTCTTTTGTATCTTGTATAATTTTCTTAACATCTTTTACCTTATTTTGAAATAATAAATTACTGTTTTAACCTGTTTTGTGGGCATATTTTTCTGGTATGCTTTTATTTGGACTGATAAACAACATCATATTAAATGAAGAAAAGATTGACGTTGTCAAGGATTTCGTTTTACATGGATCCACAGTCAACGCCCATGGAAGCAGCACTCAGGAAATCAAACAATGTATTGTATTGGGCAAATCTGTTGCAAAAGACCTCTTTCAAGTGTTTGAAAGCAAAGCTGTCATCTTGAGAACTAAGGTGAACCTAACCCAAGCCATGATATTTTCAGTCACCTCATATGCATGCAAAAGCTGGACAATGAATAAGGAAGACCAAAGAAGAAGTGATAGCTTTGAATTATGGTGTTAGTGAAGAATATTGAATATACCACGGACTGCCAGAGAACGAACAAGTCTGTCTTGGAAGAAGTACACCCAGAATGCTCCTTGGAAGTGAGGATGGTGAGACTTCATCTCATATAACTTTGGACATGTTATCAGGAGGGACGACCAGCCCCTAGAAAAGGACATCATGCTTGTTAAAAAAAAGAAGAGGACCCTTGACAAGATGAATTGAGACAGTGGCTGCAACTATGGGCTCAAACATAACAACGATTCTGAGGATAGTGCAGGACCAGGTGGTGTTTC